TGCTAAGGCCTAAAAAAAAAAAATTGATGACTTGGCGTAACCCGCCCGACCCTATTTTTATCGCCGACCCTACGCTTTTTTTTTTTTTTTTTAATTTTTAAATTTTTTTTTTGTTTTTTTTGTTTTTTTTGATTTTTTTTTTTTTTTTGTTGATTTTTTGATTTTTTTTTTTTTTTGATAAAGGATTCTGAAATACTGGAGACATTTTTTAACTGTTTGTTATTACAGAGCCATTCACAATTGTAAATATTTTCACAAGTTGTAATTGGCTACTCTTTTCAACCCTCATTCTTCAAGATTTTGGATACATGTTAACATGTTAACATGTTAACCTCTAGACAAGTTATAAAAATGCTAGTCAATACATCGTGAAAATACTAATATTTGTGAACAGCCCCTTCTAAACCTACATATTCACCTGTTTATCCTGTTGAAGACAGTGTCTGAGATATCTCAGGCTGGGGTCTGATGGAAACCTATTAATGCGTTCGTATGTTTGCATTTTATGTGCATGAGGGTGTATGTACATGTACATGTATGTATGCAGGGGGGGGGGGGGGGGCAGGTGTATGTATGCATCCCCCAGGTCCCAAGGTGATCAAGATTTCAACAATTTCTTGCTCACTTTGCTCACACAGTGTGTGTGTCCATATATGTGTGTGTGTGTGCGTGGAGTTATTTGAACATATTGTGGTCTACCCCTCTCATCAGATCATCCCCAAGGTCTGAGGACCTATCTACGCCACTGTATGTATGTATGTGTATGAATGGCTAATTTCATGTATGCAAATATAAGCAACAAAAAAAAAAAAAAAAAAAAAATCAAAAAAAAAAAAATCAAAAAAAAATCGCCCTACCTACCCTAATTTTCAGTGACCCGTTACGCCAAGTCATCAATTTTTTTTTTTAGGCCTAATGCGTATTGTACTCTAGCACCGCACTGCGTGTTAATAGGCAGCATATGAATACATGAATAGTCAATACACTCATAACACTCAAATGTAATTGATCATGCCGATGCGGCTGATCGGCAAGTTTGACAGTAGACTTACAATTTGAATGTTTAAATTATTCTTTCTAACATCGGTGAGTTAAAAAAATTGTATTTTACTGCTATTTAGGTATCATCAATTGTCACTAAAGTACCGATTTTTAGTGAAATCAGTTGAGTTTTGTACAGTGGTGTTTGAAATGTTGAGAATCAATAGCGCAGCTTTTAATACACAGCCAGGATAGTAATGCAGCTATGTGTGAGTAAGATAGTAATAGAGTCAATGCTAATGCATATTGACCTCTAGCACCGCACTACGTGTTAATAGGCAGCATTTGCACACATGAATAGTCAATATAGGTCTACTTATAATACACAAATGCACACAATAATGCCGACATGGCTGATCGGCAAGTTTGACAGTAGATGCCTAGAATCTAGATAGACTTACAATTTGAATTTTTAAATTATTCTTTCTAACATCGGTAATTGAAAAATTTGTATTTTACTGCTATTTAGACTTAGATCTAGGTGTCATCAATTGTCACTAAAGTACCGATTTTGAGTGAAATCAGTTGAGTTTTGTACACTGGTGTTGAGAATCAATAGCACAGCTTCTATTAATACACAGCCAGGATACTGCAGCTAGACTATGTGTGAATTGCCAATTGTTACAAATGGACTAATCTTTTGGGGAAAATGCCATAAAACATTGTTTTTATCCCACTTTCAGTACCGTATTTGCCGGCGATAAGGCCGCAGCGCCGCATAGGTCGCACCCCCGATTTTGACATTAAAAAAAAAAAAAAAAAAAAAAAAAAAAAAATCAAGATCTATCAGCAGATGTTGTTTTTGGAAGTTTATTTTCGTCTTCATGTCAACAATGCAAGATAAAATTGTCGGTAAGATGTGTGGAAATGTCCTGTACCATAGTGGTATAGTTATTGTACCGTTCGTAGTCCCATATGTGCAAATTCGTGCTGGTTTTGACTTACTTTTTTTTTTTTTTTTTTACTCTTTCGCCGTAAAGGCAGCACCCCGACTTTTTGATATTTTCTCTTCCAAAAATAGTGCGGCCTTTACGCCGGCAAAAACGGTATTACAAGAAGTGGGTTATTGATGTAGATAAATGCTCATGTACCTTTACAGCTCATTTTATGTATGTTATTAGCAAAGAAAAAAAAGTGTCTGACAGTGAAGTCTAGAAGGTTTCCTTGCATACCGTATTTGCCGGCATAAAGGTCGCAGTATTTTTGGAAGAGAAACTATCAAAAAGTCGGGGTGCGGCCTTTGCGGCGAAAGAGTAAGAAAAAAAAATGTGAGTCAAAACAGCACAAATTTGCATATATGGGACTACGAACGGTACAATAACTATACCACTATGGTACAGGACATTTCCACACATCTTACCGACAATTTTATCTTGCATTGTTGACATGAAGACGAAAATAAACTTCCTAAAACAACATCTGCCGATAGATCTTGATCTAAGTTCGTGTTTGTTTTCCATTTCATGCAATTTCGCATTACACCGTACATTGTGGTAGGGGTTTATATCGGACACCAAATCTGCCTGCGATCACTTTTTTAGCTAATCTTCTGGTAAATTATAAGAATATTGATGACTTTGGTATCAGTTTGAAGAAAAAAAAATAGTGTATTACGAGAAAATTATGATTATTTTTCTTTGTCTGTTTTTTGTTTTTTTCCTCTTTGAAATGTCAAAGTTGGGGTGCAGCCTATGCGGCGCTGCGGCCTTATCGCCGGCAAATACGGTATTTTGAATAATAGGACACTGCTTACATTTAAATTTCACAGATAGGACATAGTCTACATCAACATGACATATTCATAATTCCTGCAAAGTTCTACAGAATTTGATGTTGGCAGTAAATGGGACATAGTACCTTCGGAACAATTGCAGAATACCCTATCACGGTTTTACAGGGACACAGAACCAACAGTCTGACAAATATTAGAAATAGAAACCAATATGACCAATGACCATCGACCAAATACTGAAAAATATTAAGAGAGAAACCAACGACCATCGACGAAGATACTGATAAATATTTAAAAAAGAAGCAAACGACCAACGACCAAAGACCATCGACCAATACTAGTCTAGTCTAAGCACAAAACTATCAACGAAGATACTGATAAATATTTAAAAAAGAAGCAAACGACCAACGACCATCGACCAATACTAGTCTAGTCTAAGCACAAAACTATTTTTTCTTTTGTATTTTTAACACAAGACATTCCACTGATTATAAGCAAAAAAATACTTTTTCCTTTTGTATTTTTAGAACGAGACATCACTTGTTGATTAAGAAAGCACAAAACTATTTTTTGATTAAAATATCTATTAGGGTCTTTGACAGCAGACTAAGCGGTGTAAAGCCTAAAGAGCTACTACAGTGCACGCAAGGTACATACAAATACATGTGTGGGACTAGTGCTGTAAGTCAGACGCTATGTTCGGTTCGGTTCGGCAGAGTTCAGCAATTTTTCACCCGAACTTGGTTCGGTTCGGGGTCCGGTAGAATAATAGCAAGCAGCGTTATAGCCATGGCGGTCGGCACTGGGCGGGCCGGGCCCGAACAGCACGGAGGACTTCTGCACACTGCTTCCGACCAGCACGAATTTCACATTAAAAAACTGCTCTAAACGTAATTATTTGTGAAGAAAAATACTCCTTACATTCATATTTCCGTCTTGAATCATGTTTTATTTTCAATTTTTAAAGAATCATGTTTTCAATTTGTCAATTAATGATATTTTTTAAAGATTTTCCGAGACGGTTGTTGTCTAATGTTAAGAGTCATGAAAGCTGCCATCTTGAATAGAGGCTCGTCAATAACTGTTTTTTATAAGTTTTTATTTTCAATAGGAAAAATATAAAATCCCTCTTTTTCCTGAATAAATAAATACCATACTATAATATATATTTATTTCATTATTTATATTGTAAAATTTGTCCGATATGGTTACAATTAATTAATTTTTTTTTTTTTTAATGGGTTTGAGCTGAACTGTTTTGATCACGCACATGTATTCTTGTTTATGGTTTGCGATCGCGAAGTAGCGTGGTCAGGATTTGGGATTTAAATGGCGCCAGTGAAGTTGCGCCCACCACTGGATAGGCATAAATCTCAAAGGTGGAAAATGGGAAAAAAGTAAATATAAAATGAGCAATCATGACATGAAAATTAGGTACAAAATGACAAGTTTATTAGCTTGCAAAAACGTTTACATTTTTCTGCCGAACATCTGAACCAGGCCTTTGCGTTCGGTTCGGTTCGGTTCGGTTCGGAAGTGCCATGTTCGGCAAACTTCCGTTGGGTTCGGCGTTACAGCACTATGTGGGACTATACATGGGCTGGACTTTTTGAGTTACTGAAATAGTGTTGAGAATTCGAGTAATTCATCTACTAAATGACCATAACAGACAAGAAACAAGTCAAAGGGAAGGACAAGAATCAGTGCTTATCAATATAACACAAATTTTGCAAATTTGCATGAAATATCATCAGGAAAGCCATCTAAGTACGTCTCAAATTAGCGACGAACACACCAAGTTCGGCGCAGCACTGATGCACAAAACAGCATAAAATTCAACTTTTCATCCACCAAATGAATACGAATACTTGCATTAAACAATCTTCAATACCTGTATCACCGTCATCGCAAACAATACAATCACAATCTGTATTTACGGCTAATATATGAAGACTAACAATATGGTACGTTATTCTGCAATTAAGCCGTACCTTCAACCCCCTCTGACTCCCCCCAAAAATAAAAAGATATATCTGGTATATATTTAAAAAAAAATGTAAATAAATAAAATTGTGAGGCACACAGAGAAAAGATGCCAGAACCCCAAAGCCCCCCTCCAATATGCAATTATTCTTCTAGAACCATTCCTGCACACAAACTTATCTAAAGAATAATGCAAAGGAGATACATGTATGATTGGTCAAATGTGTACATTTTTCCATTCCAGGCAAGACCTGCTCAAGTGGAATGGATGGGGATTCAGAGACTGCAAGTTTGTTTTGGATCCTGTCAAGGAACTTGTATCTTTTGAGGGGGACAGGTTTGTTACTCTAATTCTAATGTATTATTCCAATGATGCATTCCTTTCATATATTGTAGCAAATATCGTCCATCAATTTAGCACTTCAGTCCACAGTAGAAATCCCATATCAGCAGTCAACTAGCTGAATGGCAGGATTTTCTGAATGTAATGTTTAACAAAATGCTGATTCGTATATCTAGTGAAAAGGCAGAAATAATGCATTGTACAGTTACAAAATATACCCTGTCTCTGACAGAGCTTTGATATAAAATTAGTCAGGATCAGGGCTCAAATTAATTTTTTGCCCACAGGGGTTCTTAACAAAAAAGAGCCCCCGTGAGCCTTCTCACGGGGGCTCTTTTAGTACTGACGGTGGCTCTTTTTTAATACACATTTCCATTGAATTGGTGGTACCAATGATACTCCTAAACTATTTGCTATTTCATCATTATCGGCATTATTTCCCTCTTACAACTTTACTTTTTAATTTTGCAATCGCCCCCGTGAGCAATCTGACGGAGGCGATTATGAAGCTCACGGGGCGAATCGCCCACCGCCCCCGTGTATTTTGAGCCTTGGTCAGGATCTTTCATTCCTGTAACAGTGTAACTCTGGACCTACCGCTATGTGTAGATTTATAGTACATGTATTATGTAGACTTTAAAATGTTAAACAAAATGAAAATTCTATCTGTTAAAACACCACAAATTGCATCTTGAAATTTTGTAGAGATTGCTGTTACCCTGAATTTATGAACTAATTTTTATATTTTCAATGGGAAGTTCACCCTGATATTAACTTATTAATTTTAATTTAAAAAATGAATAAAAGCAGAAAGTTGAGAAAAACAATTTGGTGAAAGTTTGAGCAATATCAGAAAATGGAAATGTATTATTTTTTAAAACTTGTCTTCAGTGAAACACATTTGGCAACACTTTGACATATCTAATGAGCTTCTCTCCCATTCGCTCTGTACAGAATTTCCATTTTCTTAGTTATTGATGATGGAATATATGTGTTTCATACAGGGGTTGTATAAAAACAAATTTGCAATAATGATGTTTAAAGGTGATGAACAATATAGGTATTTAAAGTTTTTTTAGTACAGGGAAAATGGGAGGGGAGCTCGCAAGACATGTCACAAAGTGTTCAATTTGTGTTTGATTGATTGCACCATCAACAATTCATTTTCCTATTTTTAATTGGTTGTTCAAAGTTTCACTGGTCTGTTTCTGCTTCTGTTAAAACCAACTTAATATCAGGGTGGACTGCATATATACAAATGTGTTCCATTGTTATGTCTGTTTCACAAAGGTACCAGCTTAGAGGACCATTACCATATTTCAATACATGGCTGGAAACCATTGAAGGAGTTAACCTACACGCAAACCGTGAAGCACAGGTAAATATCTGAGGAATAGCATCTTTTTCATCAAAAGGAGTTGTTTGAAAAGAAAATCTATAAAGTTGTGCAATATTTACTCTGTACTTTTATTGAATACAATGTAGTGATTGTAAAGATGTTTTGCAACATAAATTCTTTTTTTAACACTGAGTAAATTACAGAGATGATGTTATCCTTCATAAAGGGTTCTTGTAAAAAATGGGCATTTACAAGAATGAGTAAATTGTTATGGTTAATTTCATTAAGTTGATTTTTGCACTCTCGCAAACAATGTCTCCTGTTCATTCAAGCGTAACCACATACCACATAAAAATGATACTAAATGATTTGGGATAAAACTTCATAAGATGAATAATAATTTACTGTTCATTTTAAAAATAATTAGCAATTTTCTAGGTGTAAACTCTTGACTCACACTGTATAGTGATTATTATAGGCTTCAATAGGGTTGAAAGAATTGATAATCTCATAATCATTTTAATAATCTTTATTTATGTAAAGTGCTTTACGATTAATAATGATGATAATGCTGTACTTTTTATTTCAGCAATTCTAACAAATATGGTATATTTTGTTTATATTATGATTACCTTAGCCTGATATCCAAGCAGATAAGATCCCTAAACCAATTATAAATGATGGATTCCTAGAAGACATTAAGAGAAGTGGTATCTCACTCACACTAGATCCACATGATAGACTCTTCAGGGCTCATGGTAAGCTATACCATTCATTGTGTCTTATACCTATCTTTAGAAAAAAATGAACTATCTTGCAAGCTCATCTCCAATTTGCTCTGTACAGAAAATTTCATAAACTTTCATTTCTTAGTCATTGATGAAAGAATAGGTTTGTTTTATGCAGGAGTTGTATTTAAACATATTTGCAATAATTAAATTTAGGGTGAACGTACAATAGAACAATTTCTTAAGGGAAAACAAAACTTTTTGAAGATTTTTAGCACAGGGCGAATGGGAGGGGACCTCGCAAGATAGGGTGTTTGGTACTCTTGTAACTTGCAGTCTTTATAGAGTCGTATTTTGACTTTCGTTTCTGAACACCCTCTGTACCGTGAAGCCCGACTCTTTCCTGCATTCCTCATAGTAGAAACGAAAAAAAAAAAATTGTAGCTGTCCATCTACTTAACTTTATTTTCTTTTGAAAAATTATGTATCCCACAGAATTGATTTTTGAATTGATTTGAAAGCAGTTACTGTCTTTTCCATTGATCACATAGATTAGTTAGTTCAGCATTTTAATCTTAAATCCCGCCGATGCACACAATTTTTGGTGTGGGGAAAATTCCATTCGGGAACCTGGTCCTCACCCGAAATTTTCAAGTCAAACCCGGGTTTGAAAAAATCCTGTAATGACTCAGGCCTAAACCAAACCCCTTTTCTTACTTCACCCCTCTGCTTAGAGACAAACTGTATTTCGAGTGTAATAGGCCTAGAATATATTCAATTGAAGATAAGGTATTACCAATTGATTAATGATGGTTGGATGGAGCAAAGTGACTTTCAAGATATTTACTCTTTAAAGCTATATCTTGCACTAGAAGGTCAAAATTGTGGACATATTTGCATTGTAGTTCTGTTCTTTGGCTTTGAGGCCCAATGTATAGATTGAGTAAAGTAGAAAGTATAGGAGAGCTAGAAATGCCAGTCTTTATATGCTTTGTTAAGCATTTTCTCACTTCAGTATACAATATGAAATACAGAGACTTGTACAATTGAGACAATTGAGACATTATGTGTCCATGTAATCACTTTGAGAGTTTTTTAATGACAGTATCATGTAAAGCAAATTGTTTAAAGACCAAAGACTTGTGTAAACAAATTGTTTGTATTATGGATTAGACTTGTCATACATGTATAAAGCCTTGTGGTTCATTGTTGAGATCAGTGTAGTGTATCTGCCCTGCTCTGCTCTGGGCAGAGTCCTGGGCAGAGTCCATGGTTGATAGAATAATGTACTTACACAAAGTCACTTTTCTCTAGTTACAGTAATACACCTGTGAAATCGTATGGAACATTTCATGAAATGAGAGGGGGAAAAATCAATAGTCTTGACATAGTATTCATAATTTGATTATAAATTGTAAAAAAAAACTCATTTTGTAATGTATGGGAGAAATATAAAAGGGAAACCAGTGTAGAATAGCTCTTTCTTAATTGACTTTAACCATGATATCATTTAGAAGACGCTATCATCCTTTATTCAGAAATTATTTCACCTCCCATGATATTTGATTTTCTGCAGGTCACACACTTCATGATTTGTTCACACTAAGGGAAGGTATCTTTGAAAGAATTCCAGATATTGTCATATGGCCAGGTAAGTGGTAATATAATACCAAAGTATACATTTTACAAGTAAAAAACATTAATGATAGAACATACATGTCTGCATCAAGTTCCATTCCTTGAGCAATGATGTGTACAAATACACTGGGAGTACTGTGAATCTCAGTGTATAAGAAAAAAAGTCGGGGGTGCGTCTTATACTTTATATTTTTTTTAAACTGTCGATTTATGCACCATCTTTCCAGCTCAGTCTTACAAGGTGTGTTGACTCACCACTCGGAAACTAGAACAACACTACCTGTATGGCCGGGTTTCTGTTTGGACTTATACAAAAATTTGTCTGTCATCTTTAGTTTTAAAAACAATATTGTTAATAAGAAATAATAATAATACATAACATTTATTAGGCGCTTAATACTGGTGTTTCTAACTCAAAATTAATTGAAATTATAAATAAACCAGATATGGAATCAGAAGTATCATAAACCATGTGAAATATTCAAATACAACTTAAATACAAATTATAATATTCAATATAATCATTATGCATCTTAAATACAACATTATGAAATAGAAATTACAATATCATTAAACTGCAAGGTGGTATTAATTACTCTTAGAATAAATAACTTGGGGAGGGGAGGGTAATCACAATTATGGAAAAAGGTGGGTTTTCAGGAGAGACTTAAATGATTCTAATGTAGGGGCTTCTCGTATATAAATGGGGAGATTATTCCATAACTTGGGGGCAATAACTGTGAATGAGCGGTCTCCGTAGCGTGTCTTGGTGCGAGGTCCAGGTAGCAGTTGAAGGTGGGCAGTAGCATGGGAGTGTAAACGTCGAGATGCAGAGGAGGCTAATGAGGATCGGAGTGAGATGAGGTTCTGTAGGTATGAGGGGGCTTGGTTGTGGATAGCTTTGTAGACAAGGAGGAGGATTTTGAAGACAATGCATTCCTGTATCGGTAGCCAGTGAAGAGACTGGATGATTGGGGTAATGTGTTCAGATTTCTTGGTACGTGTGACTAGTCTAGCGGCAGTATTCTGGATGCGTTGAAGGGGTGCAATGTGGGATAGAGGTAGACCGGCTAGAAGGCTATTACAATAATCAAGGTGAGATGAGACGAATGCATGGATGAGTTTTTCGGTAGAAGGATTGTCGAGATACTTTCGGATTCTGCCAATCCTAGCGATTCCCCAAGAAGCTGCCCTGCACTTGTTGCGTATACAAGCCTTTTATTAAGACAAAGCAGACCTGGAGCCAAATATCTGAAAAAGCGGCTCCCGGTCCTTAAATTTTTTAGAGAACCAGGAGCCGTTTTCCAGGACCAGGAGCCGTTTCCAAAATTGATGAAAATATGAATTCTTTTAAATAATTTGTTAACCGTTACCTTTTACTTATTCATTATTCATTGTCATTAGTTTATATCAGTACACTATAAATTAACCCTGTAAGTTGGGGCTTTAATCGGATCGGAAGGGGGAAATACAAAATTTAAAAAAAATATATATAAAAAAAAAAAAATTGTCAAGTTTTAGGCTACCAAATACTAAATAAACATGCAAAGCTGGGATCATTTAGTCAGTTGGAGTTTTTGTAGACCATGTTTGTTTATATGAAGTGCCTTTTCATGACTTTGAAATTAATAATATTAGTCTAAGAGAAGAGGCAAAACATGCGCGAGCCGCCATCTTGGATTATAATGACAATGGAAAACAAAATGCGTGCTTATAATTACATTATAATCCAAAGTGGCGGCTCGCATTTTATACCTCTTCTCTTAGACTAATGTCATTAATTTCAAAGTCATGAAAAACACTAAATATCTACGAACACGGTCTACAATAACTCTGAATGACAAACTAATCCCAGCTATGCATTTTTTTAAAAGTATTTGATAGCCCCAAACTTAAAAATTGTCGGCATATTTTTTTTTTTTTTAATATTAAAATATTTGTTTTCTACCGATTTTTTTACGATCCTTTTCATTGAGCGGCGATCGGACTTGGTGGCGAAATTCCGAAATTGTGATCTATTTCGATCATGATTGCCACGATTTGCATATAGTTTCCAGGAAAAGAGTTGTGAAATCGAAGTTTGGATTGTGATTATTCAGGCCATGTATACTGAATTTTGAGAATCGTTTTTCAAAGTAAGATTTTCACAACGCAAACGTTTAGACGGAGTGAGAGTGTTGCCCGCCCACTCTCGATCTCTAGATCTGCACGCCGGCTAGCTGCTAGCCGCCCTAACCCTAGCGGTGGCGCTAGGAGTAGGAGATATATGTTAGCGGCTGCTTGTAGTCGTGCTGCAATTATTTCTGGGCGATTTCAATTAGGACTCTCATCATAAAATGATTTGTTAGGGTTCATTCAGTCCACTTTTAACTCGTATTAAGTAAGTTTTTGTCACATTGGTGAGCATTTAGTGCTAGACATGTGGAAGTTTCTGAAACAGGAAAATTTTATTCTCCCAGACCGGGCGCCAAAAATAAAAAATTACCGGCGCCCGGTACTCATTTTCCCCGTCTTACCGGGCGCCAAAAGTCAGGGACCGTTGGGTAAAAATCGCCCGGCGCCCGGTTAATAAAAGGCTTGTGCGTATATGTTGAGCAAAGGAGAGGTGCTTGTCGAAAGTTACACCAAGATCTCGTATACACTCCGACTTCTGCACACAAACTCCAGAAAGATCCAGAGGGGGGAAATCATCAGACTGCTGCCTGAACCTAGAAGACATATGCAGCATTTCAGTCTTCGCTTCGTTAAGTTTCAAGTTGTTGGTTGAGGACCACGTCTTGACATCGTGTAAACAATCTGTAATTCTACTAATGGTATCTCTCCTGTCGCCGACATCAGCTCTCATAACGAGGTAAAGCTGGGTATCATCTGTGTACATGATGTGCTGGATACCATGGTGCGAATCGATCACATGGCAAAGAGGACCAGTATAGAGGGTAAATAACAGGGGCCCCACTACCGACCCCTGAGGCACTCCCCAATGGAGAGGAAAGGATTGTGACAGTGACCCCCTCACAGTTACTCTCTGGAAACGACCACTAAGATAAGACTTTATCCACTCCAGAGCAGATCCCTTGATGCCGTAGCAGATTTCGAGCCGTTCGAAGAGAGTCGCGTGGTCCAGACAATCAAATGCAGATGAAAAGTCTAAAAGGACCAGACAGGCTTCAAGTCCATTGTCAGCTGCTAACAGAAGGTCATTGGCAACCTTTAACAAGGCTGTCTCAGTTGAGTGATGATGCCGGTACGCCGACCGGCATCATCTCACATCAGCTCACAATTTTTATAATTATTTCATGTAGGAATATGTTTACTTTATTCTAATGCTATGTTCTAAAGTTTTATCAAATATGTTGAATTGGTATATATCAATATGTAGAATCATGTATTTAAAGATACTATGTTCCTTATGTAGCCAACATCAAATTCTGTAGAACTTTGCAGGAATTATGAATATGTCATGTATGTCCTATCTTTGAAATTTAAACGTTAGCAGTGTCCTAATTTTCAAATTATGCAAGGAAACCAGTTTACTTGCTAGACTTCACTGTCAGACACTATTGAGTGACTGACTGGCTTTTTTTCTTCTTTGGTAATAACCAGTGGCGAATCCAAGGAGGGGGCCCCTGGGCCCCCTCCCCTGTGAAAAAAACCAAGTAAAAACACGTTAATTTGACCTTTATTTGGTGACAGGCCCCCTCCCTTGGGCCTCAAAGTGGTGGTGGGGGGGGGGGGGGGGCAAATTTTCAAATTTTTGGGGGCAAAAAAAAAGAAAGAGTACTCCTTAACCCCTCCCCCTACCCTCCCCCGCTTATTTACCGGCTGGCTGTTTCGCCGCTAAATATTTTCTCACGAATTGGGCCCCCTCCCCTGCCGCCGGCAATAACATACCATACATAAAATGAGCTGTAAAGGGTACATGAGCAATTTATTGTGGTAGGGTATGTCACTGAAACAGCTCCCATAGGATTTTTGATGTACATGTAGATTACATCATACCGCACTAATTGTCTACATCAATAACCCACTTCTTGCAATGGCCAAAATTAAACTGATTGAATCTTTGCGCATCATAAAATGTACAACCATTCGGTACAATGGTCTGAAAATCAGACTATTACTTACTGGTTCTATAGCTCTTAAGTCAATTCGATAACTATTAGTCGATATTTTCCCCCTAAATTACATTTTCAAGCCCCCCTTATTTTGGGGAAGTTCTAAATTAGTATTATCTTTCAAATGCCGTTGGAATTTAACCTTTTCGTTTTTGGGCCTGCAAATGGGACATACTGTAGTACCTTTAAATCAAAGCTTTCTGGTTAAGCAATTATTGTTTACATGTCAATTTAAAATACTTCATCATTATCAAGAAATTTCTCTTTAATGGATCTATAATCACTTCTTCTTTAAATATTTATGTGTGTAGAATTGGTGCTTATCGAATATGTGATTTTTGTTGGGATAAAACTTCTTCTTCTTTCAGACTGCCATGATGAAGTAGTAAGGATAGTCAACATGTGTGTCAAGCACAATGTTTGTATCATTCCTTATGGAGGTAAGTGCTCTGATTTCACAATAATATAAGCTTGTTAGAAATCACTATTCATACTTATCTTAATCTACCAGAAAAACTTCAAATTTATAAAAAAAATCTGTGTTGCATAAGCTTTAAAGCGGTTTGAACTGCATTGATTTTAAAATCTAGTCTACAGTAGATTTGGACAAAGAAGAGTTGTCATTTTTGTCTTGCCTTCGTAGCAAAAAGCGAGACATAGGCTTGCTAATGGGCCATCCTGCGTATGAATAATGTCCCAACCTCAATTTTCATCATATTGAATTGCGTAAAGCAGGCGAGACCGCCGAGAGCGTTTCCCTTGTTAAAGTTCATAGTGCATCTGTGTATCATGAGTGAAACCACCAAATTCTAGTGTGTAACAATAACATTGAAAAAGCAAGCTTGAATGATAGGGGAATGGGGGGGGGGGGGGGTAAAGGATGTTAATGACATCAAGAAAAGCCATGTTAAATATTTCACTAAGTTTTGAAATTTGAAGGCATTTTTTGCTTAAATTGTTAAAACACGGTTCTAAATACAGAACAAAGAAAACTAAAATAAATCAGCAGTCATCTGTTCTTCTTGGGAATGTAATTTTCTAACACTTTATGATATGTTGATTAGCACCTTGAAGGATATACATCTCTTTGCATTGCCTGCATGATTGTATTCTGTAGGAGGAACGAATGTGACAAGAGCAGTAGAGTGTCCAGCTAATGAGAGTAGAATGATTGTTTCACTGGATACATCACAGATGGTAAGCATCATAAAGAAAACCATACAAGACAAACACAATACAATAACAACAAACTACAAGAGAATACCAACTTATCATTTATATATTTGATCCAAGTTTTTTGATAACTACATTTTGCATTGGATAGAAATGTAATGTTATTTTCTATATGAAAATGGATAGCAATTTTTTTAAATGTTGATATATTTGGATGCCCCTGTGGATGTATTATACTAGAAAATTTAGCCCCTCAATCACTTGTGCTTTTGAGAAATTGAATAATCAAAAATATATCGGTGCTCCTGGTAAATTTCAAATATTTCAGATAGTGCTTAAGTTGGTTTAACCCTATTTAGCCCCGGGGGGGGGGGGGGGGGGGGGGGCTTTAGAAGCCTCCCCCCTCGACATTTTTCGCGATAATTTTTTAACGCAAGAAAATCTTGCACTGAAATTTTGTGACTTTTTTCTTTCGAGTCTTGCGCATCTTTTGAAAGAAATTTTTCGAAAATCGGAACTATCATTAAAAAGTCACGTGTCCTTTTGTCTTTGCATGTCAGCTCGAAAATTGCTCATTTTTGTGATTTGTGTACAAAACATATGGAAATCTCATTTTTCAAATAAAGAGATAAAACATTGGTTATTTGGTCTTGTTTATAGGTAAGGTGTTTATTTTGGGGTCAAAATAGTTGAATTATAGTTGGAAATGAAATAAAACAACAAAAACAATAAAATACATGAGTTAAAAAAACAAGGAAATACATAAGAAATTATCAAAACAATAGATAACATAAGGAATAACCCTGGTTTTTCAATTTTTTGTGTTGTATTATTATTCCAAATGGTCTAACAAATATATGTAGTGAGAAAGAATGCTTAAATATGAATAATGTCTGATTTATGGGCCAAAATGTGAATTTGATGACCTTATTTGCATAAATTAACATAAATATGCAAATGAGTGAATTTTTCAACAAAAAAAATTACCATAGTATTCTATAGACTTCACTTGACATGTATGCAAATCTTCGCGGTGATCGGTCGTTTCACGGCCGAGATCATAGGGGGGGGGGGTGGGGGGGGGGGCCTTAGAAGCCCCCCCCCCCCCCCCCCCCCCCCCCGGGCTATGCAGTTTCAAAATAGCCCGGGCTAAATAGGGTTAAGGCCTTTCAATGGTAGCTGGGACCATGAAAATCTCAGAATATGCAGTTCCAATACATAATTTTTAAACGGGAATAGCAAATCGGTCGATTGTAGTCAAGAAACATTGTTTTAAAGCTAAAATAACTATCAGTAATATCAGCTATACAACATAAAGAGTTTTTTATTTTCAATTTCATAACTTCAGACTCGATTTCAACCGAGACAATGATCATTGAATATTGTAGAATGGCATATGCTTCCAATATGTTCATTTGAACCAAATTCATGATCCCGTACCAAAACTTAGTGTTACTTTTAAGTGGATTTTCTTTTGGTCAAAGAACACTAGATATGATAGTCAAGATGCCAGCCACGGGGTATCTTTTTTCAATGAGCTTCATTAGGTATATACCTAGTAATAACTTGAATTTGTAGAATTAAGTGTTATTTGTAAATCTGCAACAGCTGAATACTGTGAAGAAAATCAAGGACAGCAAATTTTGTGCAATTAATGAATATATAATAAATGCCTGGTTTTTATTTGAATTCAAATTAATATTTATTTGAATTAGAATTATTTTTCAATGAAAATAGGTGAATAGATACATGTCATATCCTGACTAGGGGACTTCAAAGGAGGAGGGGTAGGGGAAGTTACGCAGCGGCAGTTGGTCTCTAATAATTTAGCTGTGTATCTGATAATTAAGTTTATTGAATTTCCCCATTTGTAGGATGGGTTAACACCCCTGCCCCTGTTCTGACACTTGGTTGGAACTTGGAAGACAGTGGGGTTAATTGATTACAAGTGTTTGTTGACATAATTAAGAATGAATTGAATACCCTGCGATAACCTTAAAGATAAAGTTGAGTTCTGGTCATGCGATTGCATTGTGAAATAAAAGATTGATCATCTAGCATATAAGTATTGGAGTTTCTGGAATCATTAAAATGATAAGAAATTTGGCCCAGTTTTGGTTTAATTACAAGCACTGTACACCGAAATATGTATATGGGACTACACGAACATGTGGCATAAAAATCTGTCCCGATTTGTATGCTGTTACATGCCATATTTAGACTATTAAGGCATTTGAAGAGCCATGCTTTTCGGGGAACATATTATATTTGTTCTTCCAAACTTGCATAATAACAATGATAACATTCGCAAATTCCTCTTTCCAGAACTCAACTTTTCTTTAAACAAAATGTTCAGATAATGATAAACATAAAGAGATCAGGTAATAATTACAAATATATTCAAAATCAAACAAAATCAAACAAAAATGACACTGAATGCTTAAATCTACTAATGAATTATATCTAGATAAGATAAGAAATGAGCAAAGGGAAATTTGGCTTGCCACTCCATTGTATTTGTATTTGCTGTTTTTCCCTTTCAGAATCGAATCTTATGGGTGGATGACAAGAACCTGACAGCTAATATAGAAGCTGGTATCTTTGGTGTTGATCTAGAAGAAAAGGTGAGGGAATATCATGATCTGATTGCAATCTTTGAATAAAACAATCCTTCCAAAGTTTAAAGTACATTTTGTAGCATGATGATGGATAGTTACCATAAATCTCTGTGTATAAGACCCACCCCTATTTTGGGACGTGGGGAAGGACCTTTATTTTACTGCGAGGAGCATTTGTGCTTGTGAACTTGTCACATATAATAGTAACAGTAATAGTCAATCTGTTTGAAACGTTGAGCCACTCATCCTCTCCAAGTGCTATAAGCTAAGAAAGATAACAAACAGTCCTTTTCAGGACTACACACCCCCAAGAAAGATTACCTAGTTGCTATATTGCTAGGCACAGTGCCAAGTGGAGGGGCATACCGGTAATAAAAAAGTTTTTTGTTTTTGTTTTTGTACCTGTGTATAAGACGCACTCCCGACTTTCGATTTTTGGCGGAAAAAGGTGCGTCCTATACACAGAGATTTACGGTAGTTAACTGGCTCCATATAAGCATGTATGTAGCCCATCAGACTGATATGATTAATTGCAAATTCACTACTCTTAACGTTTGCATGGAAATGGCTGTCATTTTAAACTAAAGTTATAAAACGAGAACATTTCACTACGTATATAGTTTTCTGGTTTTACACCTATCCATAATCGGGGAAGACAGGAGATTTAGGAAATTTGTTATTTCCCATTTACTTTCAGAGTTTAAAATCTTGCTTTTTGGTTGTAATATTAGGGTAATTTCTAGTCCAGCCAAATTGTTTACAAATATAGTCCAATCTACTTTATTGATCACCTGTATAGGAAGACCATGTGTCTATTAAGACTACCCCCCCCCCCTTGAAGATATTTTGTCATTGAAAGATTTATTGAAGGAACCCATACATTAACGTATCACCTGTCTGTATTATAAAGACCATCTTTCTTGTCTACCTTGAGTGGTCTTTACAGAAGTTTAACTGCATTTTATTCAGGTATGAAAACAAATTTAACAATTATGCTTTACTTCTTGACATTATTATTCTTATTGCAGTTATCGAAGTATGGTTTATGTAGTGGTCATGAGCCTGATTCATGTGAGTTCAGCTCTCTAGGAGGCTGGGTTGCTACAAGGGCTTCTGGAATGAAGAAGAATGTATATGGAAACATTGAGGACATAGTAAGTTTCATTTTTCTGATTTTAGGGCCTGTCTGAGTGAGATTTTAGACTTACTACAATACATGATAACATGGTCTTGAAAGCTGAAATATTAATGAACTTGTATCAAAATGTAAAAGAAAAAAAGAAGGAGGAGGGGTAATGTTAGTGTCATTAATGAGACAAGTATCTCTTCTATGAGTATTCAATTTGTATGGTGGTACAAATAATCCCCCAATTATATATCTTCTTATTTAAGGGAATAATTCAAAACAATTTCATACTCTCATTAGCAACCATCTTCTGCTGTGATTTTCTATATGAATTTTTAAAAGTTAAATCATACATTCAGTGCAAGATATTCACCGTTCTAAAATGCATGAGAGCTATTAGCTCTCTTCCAGATGCACAATGATGTCCATTTTCATGTTACCTGTCCTCAATGATCTAAGTTTGATATCGTACAAGTGATTGTTCAGCTGGCCTCCTGTATAAAAATACAATTAAAAGTAATGACAGTAACAACAAAAACAGCAACAAAAGAAATAATTTCAAACTCAACTCAAATTTCAACTGATAATTACCACTATCGGTAAGTACCTAGTACTTTACATTCAATTTCTTCGAGTTTGGTTTCACAACTTTTTATGGCACTTATAAAGCTTAACACTTTAGAGATTTGTGTGGACATTGCCTTTTTACTATATTGTTTGCTGCACACAAATTTTCTGTGCAATTGGTATATCTATATAATTATGTGTTCTTTGGTTTTCCACCCATGTTGATTCCATTGGATATCTTTGTTTGCTCTAGGTTGTCCATATAAGGATGGTAACACCCCAAGGTGTCATAGAAAAGAACTGCCAGGTAATTTGATTTTAGTTTCACTGATGACAAACAGTTAATAATGAATGAAGATTTTCACTAGAATGATAAGACTTGACATCATTTATTTGAGCTATTGACCCTATTCTGACTGGGAGGGGGGGGGGGGGTCATTTTGCCCCCCCCCCCCCCCCCCCGTACAAAATTCACTACTACTGCGCAATTGCTACAACAATAAGAGGCAGATTGCCTTTTTGTGACTTTTTTCTTTCAAGTTTCTTGCATCTTTTGAGACCAAGTTTGCACAAAATCTTACTATATTACTTTCCTAAATTGCCCTATAACACTGCCAATTGTGTTTTTTATGCCTTTTTCTTGATCTTATACATGTATGTCTTGAACTTTTCAAAAGATGCATTTTTGAAGCATTAAAAACAAAAATCATAAAATCAAAGTAATACATAAGAAATACAAACAATTGAAAACATAAAAAAATAATAAAGCAGTAAAATACAACCCCCCCCCCCCCCAAAAAAAAAAAAAAATGATTTTAAATTAAAACATTTTTAATCCAAAATTGTCGACTATGCTTAAATGCCTGTCAATATCGGTGCAAATTTCACATAGATTGGATCTGTCGTGGATGAGATCTCCCTCCCAGTCAAAACGTGCTCTCAAAAAGCCCAGTCAGAATCCTGTTCCTGAATTCATCATTCAGTCATAGTCGTGAGATATGAAATGTAATAAAAGATTGTAGATTATGCAAATCCTTTGCCCCTTTTCAATTTATCACTACATTTTCTAATAATCATTTGAAACAGTGATTAATTTTACTGGATGTTAAAGTGTTATTGATTCAAATCTTTGTCCTCAACAAAGCATTTTATTCACATTGCACCCTTAACTTGGGTGAAATATGTGACCTATCACAACAAAATTATACAAAAGTTGCTGAGCTAAAGCTAACTTACTAAAACTCTAGAAAATTTGGAGAAAACATGAAAGATGCCAACTATTTATGTTACATGAATGTTCTGTAAAAAAATTGAGTAAAAATGATTAAGGGAAGGGTAAACAGTTTATATGCAAGTGTTTTTTTCCGGACAGCTCATTCTTGCAGACATTTAAGTGGGATCCCACGCTCAAGAAAACTATTTGCTAGGTCCCGTCCCTAGTGAAGTACGGCTTAGGTCATTGGCTGTTCACAGTCATGTGATCTCTGTAAAGAATTCTCTCAGTTATATCGTGTGCTACGCTTATTCTTTAAAATGTTGAAAATTCTATATAGCTCTCTTAAAAGCAAATAGAGAGGAAAGATAGGTTTTAAAAGAGATAATGGGGTAATGTGTCGGGGGGAACAAAAATATCAACAATCACCAGGTCTTAAAGGCATCGTTTAACAATGTTAAATCTGAGATGCATGGCCCTACAGTTTATCAGCGTCTGTGATATGGTGTAATATTGAAAACCTCAAATGATTGCGCTTCAAAATGATCATGAAGTACCTCAAAAATTTACCAATCTTTGAGTGACCGGTTTTACCATACTCATTTCCCCCAATAGATTGTAGTGTTATCAAAACCATAAATATCTTAACAATCAGACAGGCGATCGGCTTGTAAAAGTCATGGGATTCCTGACCGACCTAAAGGTTTATAATCATGATTGCAGCATGAGCTAAATCCAGGATTTTGTTTCAGAATCTGATGCAATGTTACTGAGTCCTTTTATTCTTAGTCTTCAAAAAGTGGCGTATTCTATAGCTATTTTAAAAATGGAAAAGAAAAGAAAGGTAGCTTTTAAAGAGAGAGAGAACAGGACCTGCGTCAAGATTGCGACACTGGTCTCATTTGCAGGCCAAAAAATGAAAAGGTTGAATTCCAACGGCATTTGAAAGATAATACTAATTTAGAACTTCCTTAAAATAAAAAAGGAGGGGGGGGCTTCAAAATGTCTTTTTATTGGGAAAATAACGACTATTAGTTGTCAAATCAACTTAAGTGCTACAAAGTCAGTATTAGTAATAGTATGAAAATCAGACCATTGCACGAAATGGTTGTACGTTTCGTGCTGCGCAAAGATTCAATCATTTTAATTTCAGCCACTACAAGAAGTGGGTTATTGATGTAGACACATGCTCATGTACCCTTTATAGCTCATTTTATGTATGGTAGTACCAAAGTAAACAGGTTTCCTTGCATAATTTGAATAGTAGGACACTGCTCACGTTTAAATTTCACAGATAGGACATACATGACAAGACATATTCATAATTCCTGCAAAGTTCTTCAAGATTTGATGTAGTGGGTTAATGATGTAGACAAAAGCTTGTTTACCTGTTACAGCTCATTTTATGTATTTTATTACCAAAGATATAAAGATGTCAGTCAGTCACTCAATAGTGTCTGACAGTGAAGTCTAGAAGGTAAACAAATTTCCTTGCATAATTTGAATACTAGGACACAATGTTAAAATTTCACACATAGGACATACATGATATATTCATAATTCCTGCAAAGTTTTACAGAATTTGATGTTGGCTGAAAAAGGGACATTCCCGAAATGTCTTTAATCCATACAAAAAAGAATAGCTTTTAAAAGAAAGACAGGAATTGTGTCATGATTACAAGTGTGTGATTTAGAAGGAGAGAACACAAATATTAAGTAAGCTTGAACAACAAAAAGCAAGTACCTCTAATGATTTACCAGTTCGTATAACTTGTGAGTTGGCAGTTGAATTGAGCGCACCGTTGACTTATATATGGAATTCAGCTTTTGAAACTACTGGAAGGAATTTTTCTAGCCTAAAAAACCTTGTGTAAAAAATTAGCTCACAAAAACACCAGAGCATTCGGACACAGAAGGGCTATAAAAATAAAAGCACAATACTGAATCTCCAAGTCATTCTTTACTAACCCCAAAAACGTTAGATTTCACGACGAAATTGAATTAAATTTTAGGGTATATCATGATAAGAGATGATGATGATGATGATGATTCACATCATTTGTATGGCGCCATACATCTGTTTAAAAAAACATTCAAATGAGCAAGCTCCTCCAAAAAAGTTAGCATTTAAATGTCTGAAGGAAGGTGAGTTAAGCTTTGACACTTCAAAGCTTCACACATAGGTTGTCAATTTTCGCAAATAGATGATGGGAGGGAATTCCATAGGCGAGGAGCAATAGAGGAAAATGCCTGGTCTCCATGTCCCTTGAGATGAGTAATGGGCTTCTGGAGAGATCCTGAATAAACAAATACATTTATTTTTATTTAAAATAATAAGCAGTTGCTAGGGTCTTTTCCAAAATTAAATTGACAGTAGAATGATATATTCTCATGATCGAAGACGAAACGAAAATCAAACTTTGGAAGCATTTCTTCTCATAAAAATAGCTTTTAAAAATCCTAACTGAGTCGTGTCTTTCAGATGGTGACATTTACAGGTCGGTCCCCAGACGTAAATAATCATATCTGATTGATACACGTCTGTAAAAACCCAATACACACACACACGCACCTAATCCTCTCATGGTTTAAAAGCTATCATATATATATATATATATATATCTTCAATAATACTCCCTTTTTTAGAGTTGAGCTAGATATCAAATTAAAGCTTATGAAGCAGAGAATCAGAATCAATCATAAAATATAAATTGAAATAATGCAACATCTGTCTCATTTTGCATGATGGGTCACATATATTTTTACCTTTAAATTAATCACTCTTAAAGCCAGGGTTATACTATAGTCAAGCACTTGCTTACATTCCTTGCAAATGCATAAAGCAGTTACTGAATTCATATTCAACTATAACAATAATTTCATGGTTTAAGTAACTAAATAAAATCACTAATGAAAAACTTATTGTATCCAATTTTTGTGTCAACTTCACAGGTTCCTCGTATGTCAACTGGTCCTGATCTTCATCATATCATTCTTGGATCAGAAGGTTTGTACTTGTTTCTCTTATAAACTAAAACATGAGGGGTGCAATAAGAACAAATCAATTTTCCTGCAGTGTTTAAAAAAAAAGGAGTTTACAACGTGATTTGTGAACAAGTCTTAAGTGCCACTGTAGATTTCAGGTTTCATTAATGTTGGTTTATCCAATATTTTGGGAAAACAAAGGTATTATGCATTATTCAGTAATTATGACTCTAAGTTTTGATAGAAGGTGAAATGATTCTTTGCTGGCTTTGTATCTGTCAGGTACATTGGGTGTGGTGACGGAGGTGACGTTGAGAGTGCGCCCTCTACCTCCCTGTAGGAAATATGGATCAGTAGTCTTCCCTAACTTTGAGCAAGGTGTGCATTTTGTGAGGGAAGTGGCAAGGCAGGTAGGTGACTCACAAATATGTTGTGTTTCAAACTATTTTATCACAGCAATATGCAATGTGTGCAAACTTAGTGACTACTGCTTTTGATATGAGTCATCTCTCTTGTTATACCACCAACAATGTTGGTTTAAATTGAGATAATGAGCAGATCATATAAAAGAAGAATGTTATGTTGCATGCCTGTTAAATTTTGTCTTGTAGATGTTTATGCTATACATGTATAAACAGTCATTTTTGCAGGGCGATTGCATTGAGCTGTGCGTGTACAAATCATATTCACATATTTTTAAACAGCCTCGGAACAGCCCTGCTGTGGTGGTGTCACCGCCTAGTAAGCAGTAGATAATAGATTCAAATTCTGCTGACATTTTCTGACTTGTTGAATTTCATTGTGGTCATCCATTTCATCTCAAACACTTAAGAGGACAATAAAGTGCTTTCAAATTTGCCCTACCTTGTATTGAAGATTGATGTCTTGTTTTGTAGAGATGTGCACCAGCTTCCATTCGTCTGATGGACAATGTTCAGTTCAGATTTGGTATGTCCCTCAAGCCCCCATCAGAATCCATCTGGACATCACTAGTCGACAGCCTCAAGAAAGTCTATGTCACAAAGGTAATTGACTCTTCAAAGATAATCATTTCTTAAAGGCGTGAACATTTTGTTTTCAAATTTATAATAATTCTTTTTCATAGTTTTAGAATGCAGGTATTTTTAAAACATCCTATTGTAAGTTGATTTCATATTGCTTATTCTGTACATAGATTTTCAGTGCCATAGAAAACTAATTACTCTCTTGTGATTCTGAACATGTATATAGATATAATTGATATAAAGAGATAATGATTTCAGTTTTTGTGAAGTTTAACATATGCCAATGTAAAGAGACCATGGCATGTGATTTTTTATTGAGAAAGAATGGTAAACTCCTTTTTCACTATTTTCATCCATAGTTAAAAGGCTTTAATCCAGAGACAATGGTGGTGACCACTCTTCTGTTTGAAGGAACCAAAGAGGTATGTTAATTTAGTTTATCCCTAACATCAATCTGTTGATTAGCAGACAATGCACATATGCAGTATTACACCTGTAGGTCCAATAAGCCATTGAAGTTATCTTTAATTCAAACAGCTCTTGATTTTCCCCTTATTAATTATTTCACATATTGAAAAACCTGTTTCTACAATCTTCCTTGATCATATTTTGCATTTGTTTGAGGGGTTGGGGGGGGGGGGGGGATCCAGCCCTTGAGATTCATTACTTGAGGATATTAAAACCTTATTCACTAAACTATGTTCAAGTGTGTATAAGCCAGAAAGAAAGAAAGAACTGGTTTCGAAGTTTAGAATATCAGGTCAAATATTACTTGGTCATATTTAGTTAATTGAACAAATGGAGACACATTCACATTAATCTAGTTCCCTAATGCGAAATTCATGCTCGTTTTCATTCCAGCTGTGTTGTATTTCAAGGGCATTTGTAACCTTTCTGCTAAATATTGATCCTTTTTTCCGTCTTGTCCATTGTATACAGGAAGTTGCAGCTCAAGAGAAGAGGGTGTATTCTGTTGCAACAAGATTTGGGTGGGTTGTATGTGTGAATATTTCAAATTATTTGTTGGGTATTACATTAAATATGATTTATGCAATATCTTCTCTGTGTGGAAAATTGTTCCTCAGTGGTGAATTTCTTTTCAACACAGATTTTTATCTGTGAGGACTGGTATCTGCCAATTTAATCATGGGTGATGATAAGCTAATGTCTGAGACTGCTAGCAAAAATCAAGTTAGAATCTTCAGTTACTTTCTCTCTGAAAAAATAAATAGAATTATCTGGTTTTTTTTTTTATTGTATGCTTTACTGGAAGTCTTTGATAAAAGAGGGCCAGAAGGGGGAAAACAAAACCAATACAAACACACATACCAACAATTATTGATTTTAAACAAAGAGTAAGCTAGAATTAACTTAACCAGCACTGACACCCATATAAGGCATCTAAACTTTTTTCGTCTTAGACTAACGTGTGTTAAATCTCTGTATTAGTCAAATTTACATCGCCAAAGTCAAACAAAATCGATCAATGTCAAAGCATGCGCCACACACCAATTTTGTTTATACAATACGCCCTCGACCCTGTATTCCAGACTTGCTGGCGTTCTTCTCTCTCTCTCTCTTTCTCTTTCTCTCTCGTAAATATCGGAAGGGAGAATGCAAAGAGAAAAAAAATCTAGAGTCCACGATTTATGCCAAGCAATCAACTCCATCTTCAATTCAAATCAAATCAAATCAAATCAATTGTTTCCAAATTCCAACATCAATTACAAACGTGTAAAAAACAGTCAATGGGCAATAAAAACATTATAAAACTATGACATTTCAGTCAAACGATTAAGAAGATTAAAAAAAAAAACAGGTATACTATTCAATGAGAAACAAGGTACAGACTGCATAAAAAACATGGTAAACTCAATGAAAGCCAGGATTTTGGCTTGTTAGGGTGTGTTCACCTAGTTTGTGTATTTGTTTGTTTTAAAATTATTATTATAAAAATTAGACATTTGTCAAACAAAACATGAAACATGAAAAACATAAAAAAACAAAACATATAAGAGCATCAAACAGTATGGTATGGTTCTACAGGATAATTTAAGAAAAGATATTTAACAAATTAAAAGTAATTAATATGAACAAATATAATGTTTCATATATTGCCTCCTGAATGTATTATTAAATGAAATACAACAGTTACAACAGTTATCAATGAGATCAAAGGGTGCCTTGTCTCTTACTCTCTACCAATCAGAACCCCATGAATTTGACACACCCATGTCTTTCCCCCCACTTGATACGTAAACGATTCAGTTACTAAGCAGTCCAGAGAGAAAGTTAGCAATTCGCATTGCTTTATTTTCTTCGTCGATAAGCTTTACACGGATTGCAAAACAATGCACGCATCCATCGTCATTCTTTTTCGAAGGCCAAGTGTTGTTGATATGTACGAAGTAAAGCCATGGAGCAACCAAAACAAACGTTCGTCTGAGTTGAAGTCATCATGAACATCATGTGATGAGTGTGTCGCATGAGGCGTTTTTGAAAGATTAGAATTACTGTACATGTATAAATGATAAGAGAGGTAAAGAAAAGTAAGTAAGTTGCAAAATGAATTTGCTTAATACCAGTTCAATGAATGTGATCGTGTTGGTGCATAAGGAAATGATAAAATGATCAAGACAATCATAATCAGAAAGGACGAATATGGAAGAGAGTGACACAGAGAAAAAGAAACATAATCAGAAAGGACAAATATGGAAGATTGAATTAAAAGAAACTTACAAAATAAGGAGGGAGGGAGGTTGAATCAAAGAATAATTAGAAATCTTAAGGAGGAGAGGACGAAGAAAAGAAAGAAGAATAGAAGAAAGACATCAATGAACAAATACACCATGCCATTAAAAAAACAAAAACATGTGTGTCCCCCTGTCATTGCCCCCTCCATGACCTCATTTCAACAAAGCCAAGTTCTTATCTCACAAGGTCATTACACTCTGATTTTATTTTGTGCAGTTAATTGAGTCTAAGTCTTGCACATGTACAAAGCGGGGGAAGTAGCGAGGGTCCACAAACGTTACAAATAAATTAAAACAATGACAGGATTTGATGCATTGGTATTAAACATGTCCAGGTTTTTTTCTTATTTATCTCCAAAGTTGTAACTGGAGTGTAAAGTCATACATATGTATGCAAAGGTATGTGTTTATTTCTAGATGTCTGCACAATTTAAACCATGCAGCTTGAGATAAAAACTAGTCCCAGTTAAGCTGCCGGTCATGTACCGACGCATTGCTCCCAAGTTATGTCAGGCTGAGGACAATACATGTACATGCATAATACATATGCGTAAGTCAAATTTTCTACAACTACCGCACAAGTTGAATATTTTTGTAAGTCGGCGCTTTTCACTCAGTCCTGAGAAGATCGACTAATAAAAGGTTATCTGTCGTTTTATTTGCTCTTTCAATTTTCAGAGGTTTGGCAAGTGGTGAAGACAACGGCCAAAGGGGATATATGATGACATTTGCAATTGCTTATATCAGAGTAAGTATTCATTTTATTCGCTTGTAATTCTGTTACAAGCAAACAAAACAAATCCAAAAACAAAAACTTTTTTCATGATATGATTGTTCATTTCATCACAGAAGTTTGGTATATTTTTACTGGATAAAGAGGTGGACACAAGATATTCCATAAATCAGTGGATAAAATCTTTCCACTCACAAATATATATTGAAGTTGATATGCTCTCATGAACACCCTTCATTGTGTTTTACTGCTTCATTCTTAACTTTATGCATTATGCTCCTAATGAAAGTTATGATAAAATTAGATTGATGAAGCCAATGATACAAAGCACTGTCTATCATTGCCAGCCTGCCCTGGTGATATGCCAAAGTTTTAAAGTTCATAAAAGTATCATTTCCTGAAAACAATATTATTCCATTATGCCTGTGTCCTAGCTATATGACTGGACTTGTTTTTTAACATACCCTTCAATGAAATAGGTCTATCCTTTCATCAACTACTTAGGAAGAGGAAATTTGGGGAAAATTTAGAACAGAACAAATTGGAATTGCTTGCAAGAAAGGGTGTTGTACAAGTCTAACCATTGAAAGGGCACTGGCATCATTGGAAGGGGTAGTCTTATCAGATGGATGTAATAGAAATCTGCAAGGCCAAAGGAAGGGTGTGTAAGGAGGTCCTTTAACCTCTTTTCTTGTTCCCTTCCACCTTCCTTTCTTTCTTAGTCATAATTTTCTTATCTTTAAAACATAGACATTTTAGACTACTGGTAATATGATTAGACAGGAAAAATATTTTAAAAACAACCAGGGAGCATGGGATATGTGGAAAGTCAGCTTTTTATTATGCCTCCGCTACAAACCTCCGCTACAAAGTAGCCTGAGGCATTATGTTTTTGGGTTGCCCGTTCGTCCGCACATCCCGTTCTCGTGATCGTGTTTTCTCAAGAACCGATTGATGGATTCCTGCCAAACTTAGGTCATGTGTGTATCTTGTAGAGCCAATGAACTGATTAGAATTTGGGATCACGAGGTCAAAGGTCACAGGGCTCATTATGTATGCAAAAATAGCTTGTGATCACATTATCATTAGAACCGATGGACGGATTACTATCAAATTCAGGACATGGATGATTCTTACAGAGCCAATGAAGTGATTAGATTTTAGGGTCATGAGCTCAAAGATCAAAGGGTCGTACATGAAGGTGAAAAATTGCTTGTTATCACAATATTCTTAGAACCTGTTATGGATGACAATCATTTGTGAAATTGCTCTATGGTCGAGGCATCATTTTCTACTGCGCGCAGTCGAAGATCCATCTAGTTTGTAATGCAATCGAAGTCTTTGAATTTGCCAAGAACTATTCCCCATGCATGTGAAATGGGAATGGCCATATGAACAATACTGAAAGAACCTCTTTATTAGCAATTTATTTGATATTGGACAATTGAGAAGGGAAACTACCTTTGTGCTTAAATTGTAACTGTGTGTTATGTGCATTTGATGATTTAATCAGGATTTTGCCATGGATCATTACATCATTGCTGAGTCATTTGAAACGACAGTTCCATGGGACAGGTAGGATAATATTGAGATTAGAGTTCAGACTCATTTGCTAGTTTTATAATTCAATTTTTTATATGTTTTAGGATGTAGGAAATCTTTAGTTTAATGCATGAATGACATTGTTTTCAATTCATTGTCTGTCCTATTATCAATTTTTGTTTTATCTCATGAGTTTTGTGAGGGATGATGTTTCTATGTTGCCCTTGTGCATGATCTTCGACGTGTTAGGTCAAAGATCATTGGTGAAACTAACAAATAATCTTACCTGTTTTGTTTTAAATATAAGGTTTTTAGCACAACATTATCAATTACAATACCAGTTTGCATCATTATGCATTGTATTCAAGTATAGATTAGATATTAGTGTCATAACACAGATGTACTAATAAAAGAAAAGTAGAAAGATGTGCCAAGAACTGTGAAAGTTCTTGACCCTTAAAGACAATGGTAATAGGCATGAGCCAAATGAAGCTACCGGTACCTGTATGCTGTTGTTCTAATTCTGGGTCATAAAATTAGTGTTACTCCTAATTTTCAGCATGTAAAATGTGTTTGATGAAGATCAGCATCTCTGTCTTGTATTTTGTTTATGAAGGGTTCTTGATGTATGCCGGAATGTAAAAGAGCGTATTACAAAGGAGTGTGCAGCAAACGGTGTTCCATATGCTCCCATCATAATGAGCAGGTGAGCATTAGACTTCCATCGTATCAAACATCTGTCAAGAAACATATTAAAGAGCATTGAAGAATTTGGAGTATAAGCTTAAGATTTTATGCCATTATTACTCAAAATAAAAAGTATCATTTTTCATAGAAATCTATTAAAATGATATCAATATAATCATGTCCCTAAGATAGAATATCAGATTTGAAGTCAAGTGCCTTTAGATATATCATAGTATGATTACAGTACCGGTATACACATCAAATGACTTCATTTCACCTTTATCTTTTCCTGTATTTTCAGAGTCACCCAGACGTATGATGCTGGAGCGTGCATCTATTTCTACTTTGCCTACATGTACAAGGGCATCCCCAATCCAGTGGAAGTCTATGAAAAAATTGAGGTACATGCTTGAATGAAGAGGAGAGATTATTTCATGAATCCAGGAACAAGTACAAAATTATTTGTAAACAAATATTTATCATGTTCTATCAACTGATATTAATACAATGAGCAAACGCTGTATTTCTTTCGCTGTCATTTAGGCATACAAAGTAGAATTAATTTTTTCCATATCCCAAATAATCCTCAATCAAATTAGATCTAGGGTAACAGGATAGGACAAGGAACCCACTGTCATTTTTGTTCTGTAGTAATCTACAGTTTGATTTAGCTAGTAGAAAATTATAATCTGATACCTAAATTACTGAATACTTAATTATTTTCTATGTAAATAATTTTTTTTTTTAAAATCTATTCCTTCCTAGACTGCAGCACGAGATGAGATTATATCTAATGGAGGAAGCCTGTCACATCATCATGGAAGTAGGTTATATCAGAAGCTAGTTCTATACAGGGTGTCCCTCAAAAAAAGAAACTGAGGTTTATGTGTTAATTACTTACGATTTACAAAATTATTTTTCCATCTATGTACATACATAATTGGAGAGGTTCATTATTTCATTTTTCATATGACGTAGAAAAACATAATTGATAAATCAGATAGTTTGTAGTGGCAGTGGCACAAACACCAAATCCAAACTGTGTGGATGGCTGCTACAATTAATTAAGTATGGTTTAAAAAGGAATGGAAATGATTTTGGGATATCAATTGATTATTGAAAATGCACATCATCTAAAATTTGTAATAATATTGTAATGGACATGCAATAATATTATGAGAGAAACTATTGTCGAAGCAATTAGGAAATATTGATTATGTGGTACATAAGAATTGGCGTATAGTGAGAGGTTTGCTTTATCAAAATGTTTAGAAAGGGATCCAGTCTTGCAGGTAGTCAGATTCATTGCACACATTAATTGGCATATGGGACCATACACACATGTAACTTGAAAGTTTGGTCCAAACGTTTCAGCTATCATCTTTTATTTCATTCCATAATCATGAATGAAGGATCACGCATGATTGAGCAAGCATAATTGATAATTGGTAAAAAGCATTGGCATTGTTCAGTTCCATCCTTTTATTTCTTCACACAATATTTCAGTGTGCCTTACTGATTGCAAAGTGTGCTTCCTTCTCAGTCATGCGTTATCCTTCCATCATGATTATGGGCTCATTTGAAAGAAGATAATATGAACTTGTAAGGGATTTGTTAATTTTTGTTTCTTTAATAATCAATCATTCCAAATCATTTCTTATCTCTTTAAACCAAATTGAACGAAACCTAGAGGCCATCCACTTCCATGTACATCCACTTACTTTGGACAAATGATTTTCTGATTCTGCCACTTCAGACTATCTGTCATCAGCCTTGAATAATTTATTATGCCTCCGCAACGAAGTAGTCGGAGGCATTATATTATATGAAAAATAAATAAATAGCTTCTGGTCACATTATCAATAGAACCGATGGATGGATTACCATCAAACTCAAGACATGTATGTATCTTGCAGAGCCAATGAACTGATTAGATTTTAGGTTCATGAGCTCAAAGATCAAAGGGTCATACATGTACGTGACAAATAGCTTGTTATCACAATATTTTGAGAATCTGTTAATGGATTACAATCTAACTTGAATTTTAAAAATTGCCTCTGTTATGGTTTGTAAAATTGCTCTATGGCAGAGGCATCATTTTCTACTGGGCGCAGTCATATATCCATCTAGTTGATTATGTTTTTGGTGTCATGTAGAGAAGAAAAAATGAGCTTTCCAATGATGTGTACATTGATCAAATTGTAATGTGGGATTATCAAGTTATTTGACCATAAATCTGGGTGGTTTTTCTCTGGGGACACCATTTATAGTATTTTCAAGTGATATATTGCCATACAGTACGAAATGGAAATTTGCTTCTATTATCCTATCAACCCATCTGTCTCTATCCTGATATGACTGAGCTACTCAAACTTGTCGGTAATGGCCATCAAGAGTCCAATTAGCCACCTATATAGGTTCAAAAATACATATTTTCTCATTTGAGCTGAGGGAGGTAGTATAAATGGCAGCATATACATGTTTGACAGGATCTATTACATCTTGGGGATATAGTGGAGATGGCATTTTAGACATCACATATTTTCTGTTTGGAGCCAGGAGAGGATAAACTCTTTGTTAGGGTACATTTTGCCCTTTGGTTTCAAACATACAATATTTTGCCTTTACATGTACCATGATATTGGATATTCTTGGAGGGCTAGCCAACTAATAATTACACTGTGTGTGTCATTAGTCCATAACCTTTGGAATCCATTTGTAATATCCTAAGGTTGGCATTTAAAAACAATTATGAGATAATATTATAGGCAGTTGAAATTATAATTTTCGACTCAATTTTTTCTCCTAGTTGGTAAGCACAGGAAGCCCTTCATGAAGGGTACAGTATCAGACGTTGGAATGATGGCCTTACGAGCCGTCAAAGACAGACTGGACCCCGACAACATTTTTGGCAATCAGAACCTCATGTAAAGCTGCTGCTCTGTAAATCTTACATAGTCATGTTTTTCCTACAGTGCAGTGCAAATTCATAAAACAAACAGTGTTTTCACCGCCAGTTACTCTAGAATCTCTAACTCTGAAATCATTTCTAATAGTGATTTGATGATGATGTCATATTTCTATTGTGAACATTCAAAAGTGTAGATGTTTCATTGATATATCCCACAGTCATGAGAAAACCTGGAAAGTCATGGAAAGATGAAATTCTTCTGGAGAACCATGTGTGTGTGGGGGGAGGGGGGAGGGGGGAGGGGAGTCATGGAAATGGATAATGGATGTAGGAGGTCGTGTGTGACTATGGCAGCCTTTTTAGTTTGAACTGAACTTTAGTTTACAATGAATTACAAATGACTTATTTCATCAATGTGTATATTAGTAACAAAAAATCTTATTTCTTTTTAACATCTAAATTGCCTTGGCAGTTACCGGTAAATAAAATGATGGACATTTTATTTATAACATTCCTTTCACTTTTTTGGTAATGAGGGATAGAAATAAATTCTTTCTCTCCATGTAGTATTCAAAATGTGTTAAGAATATGAAGTTTTTGTTTTAATTTCTACAAGAGCATTTGCTTGCATGTAAAGGTCTTTTAACTAAAATATATCTGCTCATATTGTCAATTTCATGTAATGATAATTGTCATTTCTCAAATATTTCACATATATGGTGTGTAGTGGTATATATTCACAAATTTGTGAGTCACATGTTTTTTTAAGCAAGGAAAAATTTTCATTGTAAGTTTTGTGAATATTTGTAAAATCTATAGTTTTGTTGTAGACATATTTGTAAACGGTTGTCTCAACCTATTTCTTCCATCTTCATTAGGGGTTGAATTGTATTTGGTGAGGAGCTGCTTAAACATTGAGATTGTCTTAGAATTGGTATGCTGGTTAAGTGTATGATGAAAGACCCTTGACTCCAGCCTGTGATGGGAGAGGATCAGTAGTTTGCCTAACAGCTGCAGTTGTAAGAGTGGAATCTCCTCACTTATGGGTAAGAGGCCCACCAGAAAGAAAATTTGGCTTCATTAGCTGTTGACCAGGGGAGTCCAAGGATCATTTTACATGTATGTTGCTGGTGCTTGTCTACTTTTTTATTTACGGTAGACTGTTTGGATATGGCAACATCTACCCCATACAGTAACCTCCTGAGGCAGTAGGTTTTCCTTAGAATAGCAACTGTTATTGGAGACAGCCCTTGACAGTAAGCTCCAGCTAAGGCCTGGAGATTTGGCCTTAGTGATCCGGAGCATGGTTTAAGATCTACTGGATTATTAGCAATTAATGCCACATCATCAGCAGGGACAAGAACGCCACAGTATCTGTTGTTAGATGAAGCCCCTGCATTTTCTCTTTTGAGCTCTTTAATCAGGCCGTCAATGATTACCAGGTAGAGGCAGGGTGAGATGATGCTGCCTTGATTTTGGCTTTTACAAAAACAGGAAAATGGTGTTTCTAATGTGATTTTGTGTTCCTGTTCAGTCAATACAATGAACAAAAATAAGAAAGTCCTCAAGTTGGTAGCCTGGATTTCAGACTAGATGAGTTTGCTCACTCATTACGGTAAATAACTCTAATTGGTCTGGAATGTAAAGACTACATGTCGTTTGGGTCGCAGTGATCATTAGATGGAAGATACATGTAGTTTACATACTTTTTAATGGGAAAGATTGAATTTTTAAAGGGAGCGAAGTTCATTCTGTCTGGAAGCAAAGCTTGTTTGATGCTGCAAAGCTTAATGATTTATCACATTGTTTTTACCCATCTGAAGGAATTTTGATCAAACTCCACTCGATCTTGCATGGGAATGAAATGGTATACTGGTATATTTGGGGAAATTTGTTGATAATCTATATCAATAAAGGTGACCTTTTCCCCTTTCCTTATTTCTCAATTAACCTGGTGAACTTACAAATTATAAACCTATTTCTGGAAATATTGGAGTGCCTTGAGTACCCAATCCATTCTGGATATGATATAAGTTAACTATGGACTTTTAGGATAATCATTATAAATAAATTAAAGTTCTAGATTACAGATCATGTATCTTATTTCATGTTTCGAATAAATTAAATATAGATGTTTCTATTATGATGGATTTAAATTTAGATGGAGGCATGGTGCCAATGAAATCATATATGCTTACTGTTCTATGAGGTGTCGTGGATGAGTGGATACGTCGCCGGACTGTTGATCACAAGGTCTGCGGTTCGAGTCCCACCGCGGCACTAATGTCCTTTGGCAAGACATTGATCTAAATTTGCCACTCTCCACCCAGGTGTTAAATGGGTACCGGTAGGAAGGAATTCCTTAAAATGCTGTGAGCGTCAAAATCGGCAGCCTAGCATAGCTGGGTAATGTTGGAGCCCCTTGAGGACCTTCCAAGGTCGATACGTGCGCTATATAAGAATCCAATATTATTATTATTATTATTATTATTATGATGTGTATTGATATATAATGTAGACTGTGTAGTTGTAGACATGATTCAGTATTATTAATGTGTAATGCTTCTGGTTGTTCGTACGTCCGTACATATGTATGTCCTGTTCTCAAGATCGCGTTTTCTCAAAAACTGAGAAGGATTCCCTCCCAGCTTGAATCATGTATGTATCTTGCAGAGCTAAAGAATCAATTGGATTTTGAGGTCACAAGGCTCATTATGTATGCAAAAATAGCTTGTGATCATGTTATCTCAAGAACCGATTGATGGATTCCTGCCAAACTTGGGTCATTTATGTATCTTGCAGGGCCAATGAACTGTTTAATGAGGTCAAAGGTCACAGGGCTCATTATGTATGCAAAAATAGCTTGTGATCGCATTATCATGAGAACCAATTAACAGATTACTATTAAAATCAAAACATGTATATGTACCTTGCAGATCGGGAGCCAATGAACTGATCAAATTTTATGGTCATCAAGTCAAAGGTCACAGGGCTCATCATGTATGCACAAATAGCTTGGGATCGCATTATCATGAGAACCAATAAACAGATTACTATTAAAATCAAAACGTGTATATGTATCTTGCAGATCGGGAGCCAATGAACTGATCAAATTTTAGGGTCTTCAAGTCAAAGGTCATGGGGCTCATTACGTTTGCCTATAAATAGCTTGTGAATGCATTATCATTAAAATCGACAGATGGATTACAATCAAACTAAAATTTTAAAAATTGCTTCCGTTCTGGTTTGTAAAATTGCTCTATGGCGGAGGCATCATTTTCGACTGTGCAGTTGGAGTTCCATCTAGTTTGTTATACATGTATATACATGCAATATTTGGTGTTGGGAATTTACCCAAGTTATCTGCACCAACTCTTATTGGTGGTGGTGGTTATTTACCTGACTGCTAAGAAAGCATAAATGCTTGTAAGTTAGCAACCAGATGGTATTGAGGTATTGAAAAGATTCTATTTTTAGAATTCAAATATACGGTAACCTAATTACACATAGGGGTCTATATATATATATACATATGTGTTAGCTAATAATAGATTTTGTAATAATTAATTAATCCATCATTGCCAGGGTAAAGATAATGTTCTACAACAATGAAGACATTTTTCAATTCAGCTCAGTTCTTTTAAAGGGAAATCCAACCTTGATAGCACTTAATCTGCATAAAGGCAGAAAAGTATGACAGAATGAGATAAAGAATGAGCGAAATATATATATTCTCAATTTTACTATAGGCCCTATTAGTTTACATTGTAGTTCCTGAGATCACACAATAGAATATTTACATATGTATGTAAAACGTACACTTTACAGATGTATGATATTTTAAAGTTCAAAGTATGGTATATTGTACCATCAGAATTCTGATTAAATTGTGTGATGGTATTGAGCAATGAGCATGAGAAGTGTGATGTACATGTAGCATCACAATTGTACTGTTACATAATTTTTCTTTTTGATTTTTTCAACATTTTTAGGGAAAGATCTCCCAGAAATATATAATTTTTATTAGAGGGAGGGGTCTCCTAGCCCCTGGGATCACTGGCCTGTTTTGAATATGAACCCCCCCCCCCAAATATCTGTATATTTTATTGATTCAATATTGATGTAATCATGAGTTATGACAATTGTAAACTTTTTTATTGCAAGAGTGAATGCTCAGGTAAATTCAATTTTCTACTTGAATAAAGACGTACATGTACCATCTTTAATTTCAATTTTGCTTGCCCTGTCTCCTTTGTACTTCTTTCGGTGCATACGCTATTCGCATGGACCTATTAAGAGGTCCATGCTATTATTATATGGGTATAATTAAGGAGTTATAATAAGGAATGGTATCTTGCCAAAGTCGAAAGTAAAAAAGGTACCTTAATCCATCTTCCAAAATTCTCCACCCAATCTTGCACCAAGTTCAAAAGAGCAACAGGTGCAGTTATTCATACTCTTTCGCCCCACTCTGCCATCTCCTTGCGTAATCTGGAAGTATAAAACGGGTAAATTCTCTGTCACCCTGCCACCTGGCCCTATCCCCATTTCAACATTCTAGGACGTGCAACTACCCCCTAGACAAAAGCCCCTGACAACCCCCAACCCCCCCCCCCCCCCACCCCCAGATAGTTGCCCTCAGGACAATTGCCCCAAGTGAGTTTTACCCTCGGGAAGTTGGCCCCTAGAACACAATGAGCCCCATGACATAATCCATATGTCATACAAAATATGCTAATGTTTGCATGCTCAAGTGCCCCATGCCTTTCCTCATAAGGGCCCTTTCCACCTCTAAATGCCCCTTTTCACTTCTGTATATGCCGCTTGTGCTCTTCATGAGATGGGGTAGGCTGCATGCCGGGGGGGGGGGGGACATTGTGCTAGAGGTCTCATTTCCTATGGTAATTATTCTGGGTGGAATTGTCCAGCTAGGGTAATATTTTTACTGTAAGTACATTAACTAAAATTCGAGCAAGAGCAGGTACATTGATCCTCAGTTTCCTTATACTTATCCAACATTAAAGGTAAAGACCAGTTATGGTCATGCGATTGCATTGTGAAAGAAACGTTGTGGAATCGATCAGAAAAGGTTGATCATGATCTAGCATCTAGCATCTAGCATCTAGCATCTGCAAGGTTCTGGAATCATCAAAATGATAAGAAATTTGGCCCATTCTTCATAAAGTTACAAGCACTATACACAGAAAGATGTATATATGGGACTACCCTATATCTCTCACAGACCATGAGAGAAACAAATTTACCAAATATATGAATTAGTAGGCGGTTTCCCGGCAAATTTTTTATCATCATGTATTAGTCAAAACATATTCTTTCACATGATTGGTAATGAGAGCTTCCATTTCATTTTTTGAAATTGGGGCGTTTCCAATACTGATCTTACATATTGTAGCCTATATATTCGCATTCCTCCAATCAAATAGGAATTATATAGGTCAAACTACATACGATAAGCTGCTCTTTTATATATTTTTTCAGTGTTGTATCTTGGATTCGACTAGTAAAAAAAACATAAGCCTATACAACATTCTCTAGGGGGGGGGGGGGGCTGGGGGACTATACTGGACCATGGATGCTCACATGCATGCGCATGCATGGCGAAATTTCTTCAGGGCCGGGCTTTCGTCTTCCGTCTAGATCTCAAATATTGCGAGCGCGCAAAATGTTTGGACACATTTATTCAGTGACAGTGTAGTTTTCTTCATAAACAATACCGCGTCGCTGTGAGATGTCTTCTTTTTCTTCAGAATTTCCCCTTCCCCCCTTCTCCTAAATTATAGCTTAATTAATATACCATATTCAAGCTTTTCGTAAATATACAATATTGCACGATGTATTTTCCATATTTTAAAGCCAAATAAGATACGATTTTGTAACCATAAGGCATTATGCGAACGGTGGGGTCCCTTGTCTTTTTAAAGGTATGCGTTTCCTTTTAGCTTTGATAATTAAAGACATCCCCATAATCTAGCTATATATATCCCCCAATCCAGTGGTGAAAAAAGGAAAACGTAACACTCCCAGGGGCGTCGCCAAAGGGGGGGGGGGGGTGGGGGTGCGACACCCCCCCCCCACCTGTCAGGATATTGTTGGTAAAATTGCGCTGCCGTCGGGAAAAAGAGAAAAGGGGGAGGGAAAAAAAGAGAGGGAAAAAAAGAGAGGGGAAGGGAAAGAAAAGAAAAAAAGAAAAGGAAAAGAAAAGAAAGAAAGGAAAAAGAAAGGAAAGAAAGGAAAAGAAAGGAAAGAAAAGAGAAGAAAGAAAGAGAAAAAAGAAAAAGAGGGGGGAGAGGAAAGAAAGGAAAAGAAAGAAAAGAAAGAAAAGGAAAAAAAGAAGAAAAAAGAGTGAAAGGGAAACAAAAGAAACGGGGGATGAAAGAGAGGAGAGAGAGGGGAGGTAAGAGTCTGAGAGAGGAGGAGTGGGATCGAGTAAAAGAGAAAAGGGTGTCGTTGGGTGGAGGGAGCATAAGAAAGACACGGGTAAATATGTTGCTGTGTCGGGTCAGCTGTGTCGGTATTCTTGCTCGATCCTCATCAATGCATACGTTTGAAGTCGGTGAGATGTATATTGTCGGTCGGCCGACAAGTTTTTTTCCCTACGAACTGCGACTTCTTATCCGCTGTGACGACTTCGAGAGTGACTACAACTACAATACTTGTATTTTCTCGAAGTTTCACTTTCCTACAATATCAGCTAAAGAAATCAGAGGTTTAAAATTTTCGGGGAAACTAAATTCAAACAAAGTTTAAGAGTCAACAACGGTACGACGAATCATTTTCCTCTCTTTATATTGTGATGAAACGCCGAAAATTCCGCGCTTTGCGCGGAAGGGGAAACTTCATTTAGACGAATCGAGAACGGTACAACGAATTCTTCTTTCTCTAATAATTTAAGGAAACGTCAAAGCTTCCGCGCTTCGCGCGAAAGTGGGAAACTGAATTCAGACAAATAGGGCTTACTAAAAGTCAAAAACGTTACAACGAATCGTGTTCTTTCTCTAATAATTTGAGGGCACGTCAAAGCTTTCGCGCTTCGCGCGAGAGGGGGAAACTGAATTCAGATGAATAGGGCTTAATAATAATAAGATTCGAAAACGGTATGAGGAATCGTCTTCCTTTCTCTATATTGTGATGAAACGCCAAAAATTTCGCGCTTCGCGCGGAGGGGGAAAACTTCATTTAGACGAGTCGAGAACAGTACGACGAATCGTCTTCTTTCTTTAATAGTTTAAGGAAACGTCAAAGCTTCCGCGCTTCGCGCGAGAGGGGGAAACTGAATTCAGACAAAATTAATAGGGTTTATTAAAAGTCGAAAACGGTACAACGAATCGTGTTCTTTCTCTAACTATGAGGAAACGTGAAAGCTTTCGCGCTTCGCGCGAGAGGCCGGGGAAACTGAATTCAGATGAATAGGGCTTATAAGATCGAGTCGGAAACGATACGACGAATCGTCTTCTTTCTCTAATAATTTAATAAAACCAAAACTTCTGCGCTTCGCGCGGAAGGGGGAATTAAGCTTCATTCAGATAGGATTAAGAGTCGAGAACAGTACACCGAATCGTCTGCTTTTTCTCATAATGTAAGGAAAAGTCAAAGCTTCCGTGCTTCGCGCGAGAGGGGGGAACTGAATTCAGACAAAATTAATAGGGCTTATTTAAAGTCGAAAACGGTACAATTAACGAATCGTGTTCTTTCTCTAATGATATGAGGAAACGTGAAAGCTTTCGCGCTTTGCGCGAGAGGGGGAAACTGAATTCAGACGAATAGGGCTTATTAAGAGTCGAAAACGGTACGACGAGTTCTTTCTCTAATAATTTAATGAAACGTCAAAACTTCCGCGCTTCGCGCGGGAGGGGGAAGCTTCATTCAGATTAGGATTAAGAGTCGAGAACAGTACACCGAATCGTCTGTTTTTTCTCATAATTTAATGAAACGTCAAAGCTTCCGCGCTATGCGCGGGGGGGGGGGGATACTGAATTCAGAAAAGGATAAACAGTCGAGAATGGTACAGCAAATCGTCTTCTTTTTTTTTTTTATAATAATTTAACGAAACGTCAAAGCTTTTGCGCTTCGCGCGGGAGGGGGGGGGGGGAACTTCATTCAGCCTAGGATTACCAGTCGAAAACGGTACAATTAATCGTCTTCTTTTCCTAATAATTTAAGGAAACGTCTAAGCTTCCACACCCCCTTATGAGCGCGCTTTTAAGTGATTCTCTTGCTCATCACGTACTACCGCCCCTCTCTAAAATAAGATCCTAGAGGCTCCGTGCCTGCATTAAAATATATAGCTATGATGCTGACTAAATTTAAGAAATAATTCGTATATTAATGTCGTCGAGGAAAATGACCATTTTGCGCATATGCAAGTATTATAGATAGTCCATAGGAAAAACAATTTAGCCTTCGGCCCCAGGTTTATAGGGTTGACTTTGTAGATATTGGAAATTTAATTTTGTCGGTAATTGGTGGCTACTTTTGTCGGTAATCGTTGGCCTCTACACCCCCCCCCCCCCACTGAAAAAGGTCTAGCGACGCCCCTGAACACTCTCCATGTTGGAAATCTGCCCCCTCCTCAACTGAGAGTCATAAACCTTTAAAAAGTTACTTTGGTGACAAGACGATATATTTAACAAGGCCTCTCGACCCCCACCCCCGTAAATAAATGTCTGAGTCGTCATCATATAGGCGGAGGAGGCGGCGGGGGCTAGTGATGTTATTGATTTATTAAAATTCTCTTTTTTTTAACATTGGATATTTAAACAAATTTCAAAATTATATTGAAAATAGAAAAGATATAAATTTAGTGTAAGAGTATAGATGACAAGCAGGAATGACAACAATTAACCTACTACTGCATGTCTCTTCTGGAATATATTACAGGCATAAGAATAACTTATTTTACTGGTAATACTTTTTACAATTTTGTTTCTTTCTTTCTCTTTTTTCTTTCCAAATAAAAAGGAAAAAGAAGAAAAAAAGATGTACGACATGACAGTAAGACTATTTGGCTTTATGATTACCAACCTCTCCTACGAGATGACCCCGACAATAAGACCCTATTCCAAACTCGTGGGAGACAGTGAGCATATGGGATGACAATAATGCATTTTCCAATACTATATTCCATCAAGATTAATAACATGGTTAAAGAAAACTTTAAAAAACAATATATTCCTGCTTTCAATGTGTATGATGAATTGACAGATGGTATGTTTATTGATTTGTTTGTTCTGTAATCATCTATCAATTGTTTCATATGACAACTCGCGTCAGCCATACTAGATTGTTTATTCCCTTTATTGTATTTTCTTTTTTTATTTTGGTTTGGCTATTTAAAGCAATTGATTTTTTATATTTCGTGTGTGAGCCTGTATACATGGACTTGAATAACTTTTAAAGTATTTGCTTTGAATTTATCATGTCTCGACTGTTTAAATTTTTCTGAACCGGCATGCATATTTATGTTTACATTCCGTATTTGTTCCTGTGTTTGTTCTGTATTTATCATTATTAGTGCCGGGCCCCTTAATTGTTGCTACGAGGGTCAGATAGGCCCACCCCAAAATAAAAACAAAAACAAATTTCTCACGGCATTTTTAACTTTTAATTGTGTTGCACTATATACGTGCGTCCCAGAAAAAACGAAACCGAGAACTATATATACTCGATGTTTTATCATAACTATAAATCACAAATCATATCGAATTGCGTAATGCAGGCGAGACCGCCGAGAGCGTTTCCCTTGTTCCTGATTCAGAGGTGTCATATGAAAGGGCAGAAATTGAACTTTCTAGAGATGTGATTTTCTCTTTGAAATTCAGATACCGCCCGCCAAATGACTTTTTGGATTCCTCTCTTCAAACTGCTTTTAATCACTCAGGCGTGAAATATGCATCATTATGAGTTGCATCAAATGAAAGAGGATTAAGCTTTCCAAATATACATGTCATTTATTGATTATAATTGTGATTAAGTTATGATAAAACATCGATAGTTCTCGGTTTCGGTTTTTCTGGGACGCACTGTATAGACCTTATCATACCTCCTTACCTATCACCATCACCCTCAACAAAAAACAAAACAAAAAAAAGACTACAAAAGTTTGGTTCATATTCGGACTGCATTACCTCTTTGTACGCTACACGACGCGAAAACCCTCAAGGTCCGAAGCCCCCAAAGCCCCAAACAAATTACAATTCTAAAGTGCCTCTCCCTCTACGTGTAGTAACTAGGCTCATGGTCCGGTCCAACCCCGTTATATAGCTATTTTTTTTTAAAATTACGATAGGATTATATGTGTTTATGTTTTGCTTCTTTTTGCGTCACCAAAGGAACGGGGGATGTCTCTATATAAGTATCAAAGATAAAAGGTAAAATATACCTACTTTTAATTGAAAAAAAAGACAAATATTCAGGGCCATGTGTCGCCCCCCCCCCCCCCCCAACAGCTACGCCATAGCCGTGGGGATGTCCTCCATCCAATAATATTTCCCTTTATTAGCATTGTTTTTTTTTTATTGCTTAGGCCCATTTACTTTTTATGATAAGCGACCCTCTTCTCGTATTATGAAAAGTGATCCCAAATTTAAATTATGAATACCGACCCCGATTTTCGTATTATGAACAGCTGTCCTTAAGAATGTCAAAATGACCCTCAATGTGAATTATGAATAGCGGTCCTCATGAATAGCGAATAGACCCCATACAGCTTACATGCATTCATCCCCTTACCAAATTTTGTAATTTCTTAAGTACATGTGTACAAGTTGATTTGTCCCAATGTATTTCATGAGAATGTGACATCGAAAAGTACCAAACAAAGGTCCTGATTCAACCAGACCTTTCATTCTCGAGTTTCCCAAAACATCAAATAAACAAGGGGTATGAATAAGGGCAAGGCTACCCCGATATTAAATTGGTTTTAATTAATAGATGCAGAAAACTGAGAGCAACAGCTCAGTGAAGGTTTGGGCAAAATCCAATTAATGGGAAAGTCATGGATTTTGAAGTTGCGATCAAACACAAACTGGCAATAATGTGACATATATTGCGAGGTCCTCTCCAATATGCTCTGTACATTAAATTTCATTAACTTTTCTTCATACAGCCAGGGGTTGAAAAGAAACATCTGCACTAGTTATATTTAGGGAGCATGTATGATTGATTTTTTAGTACTGAGCAAATGGGAGGGAAGCTCACAAGATACGTTACAGAGATGCCAATTTGTGTTTGATTGATCGTAACTTCATTTAAAGCTTTGTTTTTAATTGGAATTTTCACTGACCTGTTCCTCTTTTTTGTTTTGCTTCTATTTAAACCAATTTAATATCAGGGTAGGCATCCCCTTTAAGTTATTAGTTGTATGAAGAGAAACTTAATATTTGGCACATTTGTAGGAATAAAAGCACACATTTGGTTTCAATTTTGTCCCATTTCCTTTGAAAATGTTTTATTTCTCTTCATATTCAAATTATTTTGTCAATGAACATAAAGAGTAACTACGAATTACCAAGAAATTAAATGACAATAGAAACAGAATGAAAGGAAAATATGAAAAATCCAAAATCAGCGGAGCAATACATGTATACTAGCTTCCATTCAAATGTCCCTTAAGTAAATGTCACACACAGATCTGGAGGAAAATTATCTTGGCCCAAGTCATATCAATGCTTGCAATCAAACTTAAACAAGAAGGCCCAACAAATGTAGGGTATAAACTAACATTTCTCTTCTTTCTCTCTACATGTATTTGGAAAAAATCTAGAGTGGCATGAATTAATCCAACAGCAAATGTAAATGCATATGAAAGTTCACCAAAATACATGTACATATAAAGCACATGCACTTAAAAAAGATGAATAAATTACCACTCAATTTTCAAGATAATTCGAATTGTGTAATTTCACATGACATATAAATGAATAAGCACTGGCAATTGTGCATGAAATATGAACCATGAAATAAATTGTTATCTTTTCTAAAGCATATTTTTGATATCCATGTTGTGTAACAATTTCAATATCATCTCTATAAATCCATCACCCATTTTTTCCTACTGACTTGAAGGCAAAATTAAAAGGAAACTTCCATTCCATATACTCATATCATTCAAATTTGGTGAAAGTTTTGTTCACCATAAAGATTTGTGACAATTTTGTTTACAAGTACAATACATACCCTCAACTTGTGCATAAGGAGGACATGTAACATAAATTACTTAAATGACTGTAGAATATGATTCTTCTACAAGACAGATATAAAAACATTTATTAATGAAGCTTAAAATAAATTGGACATTAAGAAATATACATGTTTAAACTGGCTCTTCGCAAAGGAAAACATACCAGCCAGGAAACAGAGCATAAACCTAGAGAATAATCACTCTCTTAATTTTGCCTCTTTGAATTTGAAAAGTTTGTCCAAACTTGATTTTTATTAATGACGTGCCTCAGCATAAGCAGTATTACACACTTAATTAACTGAAGGAAGGTAAGTAGATAAAGCATAAATGTACTTTGCCTAGTATCACTTCCATGGAGTTTCTGAAAAAGTAGAAGGCTACTATATCGTTGTAGATGACTTTTCTCTTGTTTGAATATAAATGCATTTATATACTAAACAAAATCTTAAACGTTATAGAAATGTTCCAATACCCAATGTTTCAAAGTTATTCCTTCCTTATCTGTACATGTAGAGTTAGACTTACTTTTTTTCCTGAGAATATGTTTGTTATTCTTCTCCATGCGCAGCTTTACATATTATACAGAAACATAGCCTCATATACCATTTAATCTGTCTATACAATATCTCCGCAATCATATCTTATTTATTTCTCTATTTTTTCTTTAGATACCTCACTTTTCTTTATTTTTTCCCCTCATATCTTTTTTTCCTTTTAGTACAAAAAGAGAAGCATTGTTTATATAACAGTCTGATGAAAGCTTGAACATAACCTTTTTCATACACAACTGAACTAATTCATAATTTTACAATGCACAATACAAGATATGTACATTCGTTTTTATACTTTTATGATTCTTCTACTTTTTAGACTTTACTATATTTCTCTTTTTGGGAGGTCTCTTTGAAGATGCCTGAATAATGTAAGTAATGCATCAATGCGAACAAGATGCTGAACCACGAGCTGGTGGGAATCACAAATGGTCACAAATTGTATTTCTAAAGAGTACTGTATTCCAATAAATATCATCACATAGAATAGACTTTTGCTAGATCCTCTTGAGGAATTTTCTTGTGAGGGGAGGAAACAAACAACAAACTCTCCAAATGCAATAAGCAGCACATAGCTTCAAAAGGAAAACTTCACAAAAACAAAGTCTGATTGAATACCGACAACTCGTTCTGCATTGGGCATCATTGAACTTGTCTCAAGCATTGCAACATATAATTCCCACTTGTACATAGAGCAATGGCTCAAACATTTTCACCAGGTTGGCAGTGCAACCTCATATGCAGGCGAGTGTACAATCCTACTGGTGATTCTTGTAAAAAATTTGCAAGAGAAGACCTGGTTTGACATCACAGCACCTTTTGTCTTCAAGCTATATAAAAAAATAAAAAAAATAAACATCTAAGCAAATTTAGCAGTAATATGGCCAGATCCTGGTCAGGGTGGAAGAGGAGGTCTTCTTTGGGGTGGTGGAATAGGAGGAGGCGGAGGTCTTTTATCTCTTGGTCTGCCACTTGGTAAAGGGGGTTGGAAGTTTTCATACAATGCAGAAGCATCAATGGTGGAAAACTGCATAGGTAGAAGGCTAGAACCTGTTGACAACATGTAATCGGATTGGGGTGGTGGTGGTGGTGGTGGAGGGACGTCTTCATCAGGCAGGGGAGGATTGGATTCTCGTTTCCGCTTGCCATGCTTGGTTATTGGAGAGGCATGACGAGACAAAGTTTTAGAAATGCTTGGTGGCATAGGCAGGTCAAGTAAAGATTGACTGTTGAGGGTTGCTGCAGTCTCGTACATCTCTACAGATTTCCTCTTGGATGGGGAAATGGCAGGTGAAGCATCCGAAGCACTAGATGGTCCAGGGCTGTGGGAGAGCTTGCGATGGCCATCTTTGCTCCGGTGATGCCGGGATTTGTGTTTATGGTGCGATCTGTGATGATGATGGTGGTGATGATTGCTGTCCCTCTCCTTTCCTGGTTCTTGAGGAGAGGTACTTAATTTGCTCAAATTCAGTTTCAGTGAAACACTGCCTGGAGAATCACAGATTGTATTTGCTACCTTCTCAGCCTCTCTTCCATGTTCACTACCATTATTGAAAGAGTTGCCTAAACATTTAATCTTCAGTTTAATACCTTGGGATGTAGTCAGGACGGTGTGTGGAGAACCTGCTTGTTCTAGCCTTTGCTTCTTGGGTGGGGCCATGTCACCACTGCCTTCCCCAATATCATTTTGAAGACCATGTTTGTGAGAGGCACCAGGTGAACGATGACGGTGCTTGTGGGACTTATGCCTTTTGTCATCTTTCTTTGACCTATGACCTTCTCTCCTTCTTTCTCTATCTTCTCTCCTTTCCTTTTTGCTTTCATGACGATCTTTCCTTTCTTCAAGAATGGCATCGAAGGGAGAAACCGCATCAGCAATGATCTCATCACTCTCAAACTTCCTGCGCTCCATTTCAGTCGGTTTAATGGAAGTTGGTAGAGAAGGTGGTACTTGCAATCTGTCTTTTAACATCAAATCTTCCGCTATTCTTTGTTCCTTCTTGGGAATTTGTAGTACAGGCACAGGATTAGCGGTAAGAGGATCAGGGCGATTTGTGGTTTCATTTTGAATGTCTTTCATGATTTCTGCACTTATTTGATTTAAGAGATCTAGAGTTTCCTGAGTGGCTTGTTCTGGTTCTGATTTTTCTTTCACTTTGCAAAGGGATTCCTTTGGAGGTTCAGATTTTCTGTGTTTGACAGCTTTGTCTGAATGCAGGGTGAGAGGTTGTTCAGATCTGTGCTTGCCGTGTTCCTTTTCAACCTTCTCTGTTTTAACTGCCTGAGCATAACTTCTTTGCCCATGCTCTTTTCTCAAGACATCACTTGAACTACCTGATAACGTCTTTTCAGTTGGCAAATTGAATGATTCTTTACTACTTCCTACAGATGCATGCACATGAAGTTCTGGTCTCCTTTGCTCCTTCTGTTTCACACTTCCGGACTGTTTAGTCAAACCAAGAGCTGAAGCAGCAACCTTATCCTGTGGTGTGACCCCAAAGCTTGAAGAAGTCTGGTCTTGAATAAGTGGTCCGACAGGATCTCTCCCATGACTTGAAAAAGGCTTCTCCAGTCCAGAACTTCTTTCAGTGGATAACCTTTCAGGCCCAGATGGTCCTCTTGTATGCCCTGAATGCATCTTATCATGGGGCGGTACAGATCTCTTGGACCCTGACAGATGTTTATCCTGGGAAGGAGGCCGTTTTTCACGATTGTGGGGTATTCTGTCATGACCTGTATGAGATCTTTCACGAGACGGGTTAACATGCTCTTGTCCAGAGGATAGCTTCTCTAGCCCATGAGGTACTCTTTCTTTTGAACTAATGATGTTTTCAATATTACCAGGTAAAAGCTTTGGCCCGGGTTTAACTAAATCTTTAGGTAATGTTCTGCTACCTCCTAATCCACCCGTCTCAGACTTATCCCCAGCAGAAGAAAGTTGCTGTTGCTTTGCAAGTGTATCCTTTTCTTTACGTTCTCTATCTTTTCGCTTGTACTCTTCCATGGTTACCCTGACTTTCTCTGGTTTTAGGACTGTTTTGTCACTCTTTTGGGTGGCAGGTTCCTCAGATTTTGAATCCTCGCTGTCTGAATACTGGTCAAACCCACTTGCTGGCTTTGAATCAAACGAGAAATCGTACACCGATGTGCTAGAGGATGCCTTGTTGTCAACCTGAGTGGAAGTTCCTGCTTGCTGTGAACTGTCAGTACTAGACTGGCCTTCTGATCTCGGTCGCTTAGCATCTTTGGCAGAGTTCGCAGTCTGGTAAAAGGAAGAAATACACAGTCTCTTAGTCAACTAATCACACAATTATAAATTCAGAAAATGTGTAGTACATTTTGATTCTGGGTTCCATTAGTATCACACCTGATGCCACCAAATCAATGTCAAATAAGTGAGGTACTTTGTCACAAATAGAATACTTAACCCTCTGTCTGTAGTGATAATACAGGGTAACATACAGTCTATAAACTATATTCCCAGATCAACTAACAAAAGAAAAAAAAGAAAGAAAAAACAATAAAGGAAAAGAAAAGAAAACAAAAAACAAGAAAGGAAAATAAAAAATAAAAAATGAAAAGTGCTAAATTTCCTTCTTGTGTACTACATATTGGCATATATGCAAATAGACTACAATAACCCACAACAATCTGCAAACGACTGCAATTAGTCAGGAGAATCTCAAAATGTAGAATCTTACCTTGTTGTATCCCATAATCCTCTTCTTTAGGCGAGCAGGACACCGGTCGATGATGTATAAAAACTCTCTTGTCAATTCTGTAGCATGAAAAGTTTGCAATTCTAATCGATTGACAAATTGTATGAAAGAAAGCAAAGTCATTCTTAAGCCTCGTTCAGATATGAGTTGGTAAACCACTGGGATTTTATTTTAGTGTCATATGCTTCACACTTCTGTATCTCATAACATATAGCTCAGTGAATATGTGTGGAACCTTTGTTGTGCACAGTTGCCTTTCATTTACACGTAAAAATTTGCATTTTGATGTTGTTTTTTTTTGGTGGCAGTTTACCGCGTCATATATGAACGAGCATCTAATAGACATATCAATCGCCATTTTCAAAGAAACAAGGGGAGGGGGGTAGTTGTCACAGGGCAGGGCAAAAGCTAATACAATGATTGAATTGTATCAATAATACTGATATATATAACACTAACATTTTGGCAACTCCAGGGTTATTTGTTTGGTAACATCATTTAAGGTTTGTCAAAGCTTAAAATCTCTCACAACAACAAATTCACTTTAGTCGCTGCTTTAGAACAAGGTCCTCTCCCATGTGCCCTGTTATTATTTTGTCATATATTTCTACCTCCTCTTATGAAAACTGTTCATACAATCATACATGCATCCTACATAGGTAATCACTGCAAAAATGTTTTCACACAATCCCTTTATGAAACATATCTATTCCTTCATCAATAACTGAGAAAATAGAAATTAATTGTTGACTTTTCATTTTCCCCTATCTTTACTCTTGCACTTCAATAATACTAAATGTTAATAAATATTGTGCTCCTTAAACCTGAAAAAAAAAAATACAAATGCAACTGCATCTCCTATATGCCTCTGCCCTAAATTCAGGTTAGAAAATGGATGAAATTATCTGTGACATATCTTCGCTCACAGAGCTATCGGTACACAAATTTGCGCCCAACAGCCTCCTCACAAAACTTTGGAATTGCTATTTGTTTTCATCATTATTGCTACGATCTCAATTTCGTTTCGTAAATTGAGGCATCAAATCAAAGTTTGGATTGTCATTATTCTAGCCATGTATACTGAATCGTTTTTAGAGTAAAGTTTTTACAATGAAGTCTAACTTTGAGACTGTGTCAGATTGTCTTCCTATGGTGATATATAAAATCATCAAGTTTGAAGTTCATATCTCAAGTGGTACTTGAGATATCACAATAACGAGAAAGCGGGTTGGACGAGATGGGCAACCCAAAAGCATAATGCCCCAGGTACCACCTTTGGTGGGCGGAGGATTTGGTGATGCATCAAACCTTAGCCAGTGACTTCCCAACAAGTCTCCCCTTGCATTACCACAAAAAAGACTTCCAACACTTTAAAGCATTAAATGCATAAACGATCAATTATGGGTGAAATGTCAACACAAGGATGAACATGACTTACCATCGAGATGGTCCTCTGTAACAGATGGATCAACGTACTCCCACCATCCTTTGCCATCGTTGGACTTAGGAATCTACAGTTGTAAAATGATACATATCATGTTCAAAATTATATTATAGAGGTCAACGTATGACCGTCCTGTGCAGAGGTGTGATTGATCTCGACTGATTGTACATGTAAGTCCTCCATTCAACTGCTAACTTACAAACTTCAATATCTTTAGAACAGAGTTGTGATCGTTCTGAACAACTCGCAACTGTTTTTTTAAATTTGTGAATACAAGTAGTGTTGTTATCTAGAATATAAATCCTGTCTCAAAACCGCTAACAGTCTTGTGTATGGAAGACATACTGCCTCCGCAACTATCCTTAGCCTTCAAATTGTCACAGCTGCGCACCAGGTGCTAAACCGCTATCCTGTAGGTTCCCAATCGTCACACTCCAATTAAGTTTACAAACTTACATCAAAATTATTGTATAAAAGGCAGTAACTGTCCTAAAAATCCACCCAAAGTCTTGCCCTAATATTATGTCACAAGAGAAAAAGGTTAATAGTTTAAAGGGATCGTTTAACAATGTTAAATCTGAGATACATGGCCCTACGTGTTATCAGTGTCTGTGATATGGTGTAATATTGAAGCCCTAAAAAAATTGCGCTTTAAAATGATCAAGAAGTGCCTCAAAAAAGTAAAAATCTTTGAGTGACCGGTTTTACCATACTCGTTTTCCCCAATAGACTGTAGTGTTATGAAAACCGTCAGGCGAACGGTTTTCAAAATTTGTAATTCCAATCATAAATATCTTGATAATCAGACAGGCGATCGGCTTGTAAAAGTCATGGGGTTCCTGACTGACCTAAAGGTTTATGATTATCATTGCATCATGAGCTAAATCCAGAATTTTGTTTCAGAATCTGAGACAAAGTTACCGGATCCCTTTAAAAGAGGGAAAATCCAGTGATGAATTTTCATTGCTCTAGAAATGCATCTATGATCATTTTCACTGCCAGTAGAAATCAATTTAATCATGCACGTAGATTTATCAAACATGCATGAACACACTCGAACATACTCATAATTGGTTTAATAATGAGTAATAGAACAACAAATAATACAATGGAAGAGACAAAAAAAATAAGGAAAACTACAAATATTCAATTGTGCAAGTGACGCGATAGTGTGTCAAGAAATGGGACATTTGACAAGTTACTAGGTAGGAGGAAGGTTTTGAAAATGAGCCAGTATGCGATTGGTACCACCACATCGTATTGATGCTCTGCTGCCCTTTGCTGCCAATAATTAATCATGGCTCATATCATAAACATTTTAATCTTGAACAGTGTTCAATTCTCTGGTAAATCTTGGTATTTCATTATTTCTTTCTGGTAATTTGGTCATGATATTCCCCCATTCGTGTTATTTTCATAGTTTTAAAGAATATTCTGAAAGTACCGGTAGCACATACAGTATTTTTTGACTTGCACCATCAGGATATACAAGGCAGCATGACCACCGCACATATGGTGCTTTCGTGATGAACTTTACTGGTCTGACTATTGCCTTGCGCCATGTTTTCAGAGTGATGAATACCATTGTTTATCTAACGCTTAACCCTTACTGTACTGGGCTATTTTGAGCACCACACTGACTGGGGGGGGGGGGGGGGGGAGGGCCTGGGAGGCCCACCCCCCCCCCCCCTATGCAGACCTGCCAACCTCTGGAGTTCAATTTCGAGCGAAAAATCATGCACGCTATTAAAATATAACTTCCATAGTTCCATTTCATTGGTTTAAGGTTTGAAAGTTGAAACTCAATATAGTGTGAATAACTGTGAAAGTTATAAAAGAAAAGATAATCTTTATTTATTCCACGGGGGCGATTTTTAATTTTGCAATCGCCCCCGTGAGCACTCTGACGGAGGCGATTGTGTAGCTCACGGGGGCGAATCGCCCATCGCCCCGTGTATTTTGAGCGCTGAGTATAGCAGATATTGGTCATTACCGTCCACTGAGTCCATTTACAGGCTAGGTGAATGCAAACACAAGCTACTACTGTAGGCTTGTACTTGAGGCAGAATGTGGTCAGGTGAAGGCTGTATATCAAGAACACAAAACATTTGATGTTACATATATGATAAAATCACCATACAGACCTCAGAGGATGGAACCTACATCTATTTTACGTATGAGAGCACTTTGGTACAAAGCGTAAGAAATTTATCATGTCCTTGTGTTTCTTTCTTAGCACAAATTATTGGAATTCATTTTTCCCTATCCTACCAATTTAACCCTACCCCCTCCAATACTGTGAACTGGACTGCAATTAATGTTCATCACATTGGTAATAATTCCTGTGCATAATTTGAGTAGCACCTTCAAATCATAGACCAGCAGATATCTTTGCTGCTGGGTGAGAGTAGTTTGATTGATATTAGAATTATAAAAAGAGCTCACAAAAACATGAAAAATAATTCCTTACTATAATTAATTTTTAACTTGTTTAATTTCTTATAGGTTGTTGATGTTTTTTTTATTTCTCTGTGGGGATACTAAATCGCTCTAACCAATTTCCCTCCAAAACTGCCTAATGCTCTCCCTTTTCATTCTACAAAAAGGCTTTTGTCTATGTACCACCCATCCTTTCCTCTTTATATCTACCATGGACAAAAAATCTTTCATGTAACATACAATTTAATTTTTCTATGCGGTGATGAAAGCAGGTAAATATTGCTATAGAAAAGATTTTTGAAAACGGTGAAAGGTGTTTGTCATGATTTATTCTCCGATGGTCGTTGAATACATTTACATCAGGCACCTGGAAAAAAAGGCTAGACAGAACAGAAAAAGAAATATGTTTATTAATCAGGAAAGTATACATATAAAGTTGTTTGAACAATTCCTCCAATTACCTTTATTTGACTCAAAATGAAATGAAATGAAAAGATAAGAGAATATACCTCCTTGCCATTTCAATTTAGCAATCCTAAGCTTTCTATACCAAAGTACTCTCAATAAATCAGAACATACAGTTAACAACTAAATTATTCATACCCCTTGTGAACGTTTTCTGTGTTTTTCATAACTCAAGAATGAAGGGTGGACTAGTTGAATTTTGGCCTTGGTTGACTTAGGCTTTAATGTGTCACATTCTCAAGAAACATAATTGTGACAAATCAATTTTTCACATACTTAAAAAATGACAAAACTTGCATCAGGGTATGAATAATATAGTTGTTAACTGTATATACTCAGTACATTTTAACATAACAAATATGAATTTCTGATTGATTTTTACTGACTTACCTGGCCTCTAAATTTGTATGAAAAAGTTATAAACTGTGGCTCAAAGCTAAATCCAACATTAACAAAGCTATCATGCAGGCTGTTCTCTTTGAATTTTGTGCTGTTCATTTTTAAAAAAAACAAACATCTCTTAAAAATGTCAAAATAAAAGTGAATTCAATCTTGAATTACTAGTAGTCAAAGCTAACATCAGGTATGATTGCAGATGTTGAATTTTGCTTTGAGTCAAGTTTCACGTCCTTGAAATAGAATTGGCACTTTGTTTGTGCTACTTAAGTATCAATTCACTTTATCCTGATACAAACAAGGGTTACTTTCACTATTTAACTGACAATCAGAGGCAATTAGGGCAGCCAACCTGTTGGTCGCTAAGAAATAGGAGCTCTGCGACAGGTCCTTGCTGGCTACTCCGTCATTCATAAATGGGTGAGCAGAGGGCCGATGGATGGGAAGGTGCCAACACCAAGACCAGCGTCCACACGCAAATGCCCGACCCCAGGAGGAGCAGAGGCGGTGCAGACGGAGAGACAGGTGAAGAAACATATCACCCATGAGACGGGGGACAGACAGGGAAACAGGAGACGATTAGAAATATGAATATTGACTGCTAAACTATTGTTGAAAGTAACATGTGACCTGAATCTATCAGTTCGAAAATATTGCCAATATGCAATTGATATATTTTATATTCTACTGCCAGTTTTGAGGTATATGTGCAACTTATTCTGCGCACACTTCGTTAAAAGACCCCCCCCCCCCCCAAAAAAAAAAAATTAAAAAAATTAAAAAAAATCACAATTTCCATAACTTAAAAGATTTAGATCACATCGATACATGATAATACAGTGTAGGTTAAACCAGAATTTTGAATGTCATTTGATTGTCAAAGACCCTGTTTACAGTGAGAAAAGAGCCAGGGCCAGGCCAGGCCTACTCGGCCCCGCAATTTTGTGCATTTAAAGTGCTAGGCCAGGCCACGGCCTGGCCCGGAACCTTCAATATTTTGTCAGAGTGGCACTCTGCATGTAAACAAACGATTATTTGGGGGGCGCGCCGGGGGTCACAGTGCAGATCCGGTCGCGCGCGATTTGCAGTGAATCTTTTCTTTGATTTCCTATACACGGCGAACTTTCACTTTCGGGGTAACAGTTGGGCCGCAGCCTGGCCCTGCGTGCGTTTACAGTGAGAAAAAGCCAGGCCTACCTCCAGAGCAGGGCCAAATGCGCGTTTACAGTGCTAGGACAGGCCCGGCCTTTTGCTCACTGTAACAGGGGTCAAAGACATAGTTTGACCTATGCACTCATAGATCCTTTGTCATTACAGCACTGTTTTATGGTGCTGTTGCTTGTTTGTTTAATTTCATTTATGAATTTATCAGCCATGACATACCGTAAATCTTCGTGTATAAGACGCACTTTTTCTCGAAAGTTCGGTTTATGCCCTTCACCTGGCACTGTGCCTGGCATTGTCCCCCAGCTCAGTCATACCATTCGGAAACTAGAACAACACTACCTGAATGTCCGGATTTCTGTTTGGACTTAGAAGAAAATTTGTCTGTCATCTTTTGTTTTAAAAACTAAATGTTTATTATTGTGATAACTTCATTGTTAATATTATTTGTGACAAGTTCATTATTCTGATAACTTCATTGTTACTATCATTTCGTCACAAGCAAAAATTGGCACCTCCAACTGCACCTCGCAGTAAAATGAAGGTCCTTTCCCGCGTGGGTTTTTGAACACGGACCTGGCTTGCTGGCTACGGAGTCGGGCAACAACAAAAAAAAAAAAAAAATCCCCTTGGCCCTAAAAATAGGGGTGCGTCGTATACACAGAGATTAACGGCATGTCTCTTTCAACACAATAGCCGCTTAAAAAGAAAAGAAGCAAAAGTTGCAATTTTTCTTATAAAGTTTTAACAGAAATGGCATAATTATAAAATATGAATCTTTTAAGAACATGAAAATTGTTAGTCACATCTGCATTGGAAAAAAATGAAAAATGAAAAATGCCATTCAAGTAATGGTGAAAAAACCTAATAATCTACCATAGAACATGTCAATTTGTTAAAGAATCTTGTTTTATATTCATGTCAGCTGTCATTTCTTTGCTTCTGCACAGATGTGTCAAATATAGTATTATTGTGAGGTTTAAACAAAAAGGGTCGTTTCCTTTTCCCTGCAATTATGAAATAAACATAATTTCACATTCAGTTTTTGTTGTTGGCCCGTGCTACAAAAATGTTCCACTTCTTTTCACAAAAAATAAAAATATTCTATTGCTAAGTAAAGTACAGGTAATTGTTAAACATCTCTTTATATAAACAAGTTATTTAAGACACTTGGCATGAGTATCTAAAAAAAAAAAATAATGGTGGAGGGGAAAACAAATCTCATAAATTTAAACAATTGAGTATCATCGAGTGCAAAACAAAATTTTTGCTCTATTGTGCCACTTTCTACATTCACATAATAAACTGTGTGAACCTTGGAAATTTTTTTCCAGGATTTTGTCAGGATCTTTTTTTTTCTAGAGCTCCTCCAACTTTTCAAATATAAATTGATATCATTCTTTTATAATCATCATTTAAGTTTGGATTTGGCAGGTGGAACGTTTTTGTAAAATTTTTCTTCATGTGACTCGACCCGTTAATGTTCATAAACCTCAACTTACCTCTTATCATCTGAGTGCACTTGACAACATGTGTGTGTGGATGTACAACACCTACTTCAAAACCTGCAAAGATTCAATAGTTTATCATGATAAGTTAACAAATGTAGAATTACACAAACTATCAGGTGCATTCCAGAAATTTTTAGATTTTTCAGGAGAGAAATTTATGTTTTTCATACAAGTAAGAAACTCTATAAATCTGCTTCAAGGTGGGATCCTCTGACTTCAATTCACTTGTTGTAATGCTCAAGTAACTTAGTGCAAGCGTCTATGGAGTCCTTTGAAGGTGTCCAAGACCCTTGTCAAAGCCTCCTTCATCTCTTAAGTGTCATTAACATATTAACTGACCTTGCCATTCTCTGATTTCTCTCTCAGCTTGGGGAACAACCAATAGCCACAGAGAAAAAGGTCTAGACTGTAGGGAGGGTGAGGGGCAGTTTATCAAATGGTTGGTTACCATGATGGAATTGTGGACTGTTTCATTGCTTAGGTGCAGGTGCCACTGAACTGATTGAAAGAGCTCTGGGCCGGTATTCAATTCAATACTTAGCATAAGTAACTGGCTAAGTTAAGTAATTGACTTATCTCGTATTCAAATTGCATTTTAGACTTATACTTACGTAAGACAAAATCTAAATCTAAGCCAAATACTAAATAAAAATTGTAAATTTTGTACCGAAGTATTGAATTGAATATGGGCCCAGGCCTCTTGCAATGAAATATCTTCCTGAACTCCCCCAAAACCTCCCCACAATACTCTTTGTTGACAGTCTGATGCTCCCATTAGGCACTCTGTCTCTTGGTCTTTGCATCAATACAGTATATTCAGCTTTCATCACAGGTCACCAGGAACTAAATTATGAAGTATTTTATGTTGTGTTTCTGTGACCTTAGTTCTGTGACTGATGTGTGCGAATGAGCGATTTTCGGGCTGACATGCACAACCAAAAGGTCACGTGACTTTGTAACGGTAGGTCCGATTTTTGAAAAATTTGTTTCAAAAGATGCGTAAGGTGCTTTTGCATTAAAAAATAATCGCGAAAAAAAATGTAGAGGGGGGAGGGCTTCTAAAGCCCCCCCCCCCCCCGGCTAGATAGGGTTAACAGGATAACAATGAAAAATTATTTTTTATTTTCAAAATACTGTAATGCGAGTACTAAAAATTGGTTTAAGAATCTTCCACTGGCAAAGTGAAACAAACATTTTACATGAATATACCCACCAAGACTTTGGAGTATGATGCTTTCATTGATTACCAGCTCCTGAGCTTGCTGAGCGTATGCCTTATAACGAGGAAAAAACAGACACAGAAACAAAGATTCATGCTTTACACTGGATTTCATCATTAATATGTATAAACTTTCCTATCTCCATCATCATGAATATTGCAGTTAGATATACATATCATGTCCCCAAAACTATTTCTGATTTAGTTTCACCTACATGTACATTGATTCAGTGGTAGAGCAGTGGCTTTGTTACCAACAGAGATGCTACTGAGAGTCATAACAATTTCCTAAACTTGCAAGTAACGGTCTGAGGTTTTTGCAAGAGGCACTTTTTCGTAAACATATCATAATGTCCTCTTCCTTGGAAATATTAACTTCTGACATTAACATGACCCTTTCTATTATATACTTTGGACATTCTATCAAAAAATGTCTGACCGTTTCTATTGTTGGACAGCTGTCACAGAAACCTGTGGAGTGGATGCCCAAACGTAGGAGGTCCTGGTTGAGTCCAGACACTCCCAGGCGTAGTCGCCTAAGAATATTTTCAGTTTTTCTTCCCAATTTACAAGAATATTGTGAGATAACATTTGGCTGAAGGATTTTTAATGCCGATTGGGTGTCATTCCACCTTTCTTGCCAAAGTAACTTTGAACTGTTAAAAATTAAACTTGTCTTTTCAAATAACGTCAATTTATTATGCATTTCAATTTCCTGAGTTAGAGCTTTTTTCGCGTAGAAGTCTGCCTTTTCATTTCCCACTATCCCACAGTGACTTGGAATCCATTCCAAAGAGATTTTGATCCCTCTATATTCCAGTGGTATGGTGGTGGCAAAAAAAACAAACAAATAAAAAAAACAACAAAAAAAACATGGCGTCCGAATATTCGCTTGTAAGCCTGGTAGTGTACTCGGGTACCTCATTACACTGTTGGCCCAGGGCCAGTAAAATTTAATGAGAAAATTGTAAAGCAAAGTTTTTGTTGGGGTGGCGGGGGTTTACTTATACAATGTACATGTTTCTATGCGATTCCGCTGTTGTTATGGGTTTTAAAAAAAAAGTTTAAAGGTGATTTGTATTATCGTACTACATATGATTTAATCGTACTGGTTGCATCTCTGCATAGGCGCTCCTGTTCAAACGTTTTGACCAAAAATCTTTGCCCCAAATACTCAATTTTACCAGATGCATATCAGATGTATTTAATTTTGAAAATTAGGCCTAGGCTATTATACCATGTGAGTCAAAAAAAGTTTACACCTAGAAAATTGCTAACTATTTTAAAAATCTTCTATGCACAGTAAATCATTATACTTCTTATAAAAGAGCGTTTTATTCCAAATGATTTGGTATCATTTTTGTGTGGTATGTGTTCACGCTTGGATGAACCAGGAGGCACTGTTTGCAAGCCCCGGCCCCCCCACTCAGGTTCCGAAATGACCGCACGCGTGTTGCCAAAATGTCCTTTTCGTAACAAAAGAAAAAGGTCGACCCGTATTGACTTTACACACCGGACTTTTGCTGAAAAGGGGGGGTGCTGAAAAAGGCTCGTATACAAAAGAAAAAGGTCGAGCCGTATTGACTTTACACACCGGACTTTTGCTGAAAAGGGGGGGTCGGTTGGAACACGCATATGCGTACCCTAAATAACACTGAGTGGGGGGGCCGGGTTGCAAGCCCAAAGCCCAATGTCTAGAAGTGTGATCTGTTCCACTACCATGAAGGGCATTTCCATCCATATATTACAATCAGTGCATGAAACAAGGATATTTCTGAATAAATATATGCACTATCACACTTTGAAACAGCCTAAGATCAGCGAAGAATGTTTCATAAAAATTTAATTTCCATTTATTTGATGTAAATCTCAGGCATTTAGCAAAAAAATTGTCCCTTATAAAATGCATTTCCCTGTCAAATGAATGTTGTATTCCTGGCCTTAACAGCTGGATTCTCGCTTTTAAGAGCGTCATGCATGATCATATTTTGAGAACCATTGTCGCGAATGAGTTGAATAACTTAAGTTTTAATGGAATGATTTGATGCAAGAACTGTATCATCAAGTACTAGTATCATAGTATTTATACTATCATGTACATACTGTCAGTCACGATAATTTTTCTTGTGAAAACTTTGCTTTGAAAAATGATTATCGAAATTCAGTAAACATGGCCAGAATAATCACAAAATAAGCTTTGATTTCATACTTCTATCCACAAAAAAACTATATAAAAATCGCAGCAATCATGATGGAAATAGATTGCCGTTTTGCTATGGTTAAAAGAATCGCCAAGGTTCAGCTAATGATCCATCAAAACAAAATCGACCATCAGAAAAAAAAAATTGACTGCAAGAAACTTGTTCCCTATGCTCCATTTTGCAACCGCGAAATGTATGTGTTTTTCGCGTATGTGCGACATGGTAAGGTATGGGTCAAGTTATTCACGACCAAATTTTTAAAAAGATTTTACACAGAGATTCAGCCCCGCACGTACGCGCCAACCAAGAAATGCACACACTGACTGAATACAAAGCTAGCGGTCGCTCGTAGCTCGTTCGGCTCCTTTTGGTATTTCCGGGGCGAATTCGCCCGCCTCTCTCATGTATTGTTTCTGTCATAATATTTTATGAGCATATTTTCACAGCTAGTTTCAGATGACTTACGGCGCAGTTGGTGGTTCTATGGGCGCAAATTTGCGCCTTGCACCCGCTTATTTCAAGAGTTGAATTCCGGAGAAAGCCTGGAGAAATGGCATCTCTGAATCGAGATGTCCCGGGTTTGTAACGAAGTCGATGTGCTGGTGCCCTTTGGTAAGGCATTAATCCTCAATACCAAGTCCCTTAGAGTACTTTAAGCTGTCATGTCCCTATTTTGCGTTTACTTCCAAACATATACATTATACAGTACATGCTTTTTAAGCTGTAAGATAAAAAGAAGCCATCAAAGTATCTGATTATCATTTTCAAAATGTTACTAGGATACTTACATTACTCCTTGGGTCCAGGGGTGGTTCTCCTCTGTGCAAGCATGCATGGGCCACTCGAATGACATGTTCAAGCTTATGGGGCTGCTCCTCAACTTTGGCAGCAAGAAAAAGACATGCCGCAGATATGCTCTAAAAAGAAACAAAGATATAAATTCATCAGATGACAGTTTGAACTACTTTCTATCAAACAATTTGAAAGTGAACAAAACATTAAAAGGCTGCGAAGAGTACCCGCACTGTTGACAACTACTTGAGTACGATTCTCCTACTCGAATATTTGGCAGCCATTTTTTTCGTTTTTTTGGCACTGTCCAGACCGAGGCTTAACCATGCCCGGGAGACTGCCGGCATGGTACCGTGGGTAAAATGTTTCCCAGCTCAATCACTGTCAACTCACCACTCAGAAGTTGGGACCAAATGTCCGGATTTCTGTTTGAACTCAGAGGAAAAGTAGTCTGTCATCTTTGGATTTTAAAAACAGCATTGTTTACTATTATTATTATTATTAAATTGGCACCTTAAACTACAAATCAAAGTTACATCGCGGGAGTTTTTGGAGATGGACCCAGGATACTTCTGTCGTAGTATGATGGTGGCAATTTTTTTTATTTTTTAAAAACTGATGGAACTTCCGACTGCGTGCAGTCGAAAATGATGCCTCCGTCATAGAGCAATTTTACAAACCAAAACAGAAGAATTTTTTCAAATTCAAGTTCGATTGTAGTCCATTAACAGGTTCTCAGAATATCGTGATTATATGCTTTTTCTCATATACATGTACATGTACAGTATATGTATGACCCTTTGATATTTGGCCTCATGACCCCGAAATCTACTCTGTTCATTGGCTCTGCAACATACATGTACATGTCTTGAGTTTGATGGTAATCCATCCATCGGTTCTAATGATAATGCGATCACAAGCTATTTTTGCATACATAATGAGCCCTGTGACCTTTGACCTCGTGACCCAAAAATCTAATCAATTCATCGACTCTGCAAGATACATACATGACCAAAGTTTGGCAGGAATCCATCCATCGGTTCTTGAGATAACGCAATCACAAACTGTTTTTGCTTACATAATCAGCTCTGTGACCTCATGACCCCAAAATCTAATCAATTCATCGGCTCCACAAGAAACATACATGAACAAAGTTTGGCAGAAATCCATCAATTGGTTCTTCAGATGACCCCATCACGAGAACGGGACGTACGTACGGATGGACGGACAGACAACCCCAAAACATAATGCCTCCGGCTACTTCGTGACGGAGGCATAAAAAAACATGGCGTCCGAGTATTCGCCTGTAAGCCTGGGAGTGTACTCGAGCCTTAATTTACATTAATACCGTTATCCCTTAAAGGTAATGCAAAGTTTTGGGAAATTTTGAAATTGGATGGATAGTAATTCTTTACATTTTTGATATATTTGGATTGTGAATGAGCAATATGAGCATAATTAGTATAGGCAGTCATTAACATGCTGTTGAATGCATTTTGGTCCCAACAGAGAGGTAGTATCCAAATTTTGTCTCTTGACATCCTGGCTGATTTGTCTATTTTTTTAAATTTATGCATATGAGTGCTAATCCTGGTGGCTAAAATGGTTATGAGAATGTTTGTTCATTTTCTGCATCAGGTATAACATTGTTCACATCTATTTTGTCACTTCCTGCCATAATTTTGCCATCTTTTGCCAAGCATTTCCCTTTTTATATTCATCCTCTATAACTATGTTCATCTATGCTATTTTTTTTATTGAAAAAGGAGTACATGTACTCTCACAGAGACATACATGTACCCATAATGCGTACAATGGGTACCATGTACATGTGTAAATAATTCAAGTATTAATTTATATCGGACACCATAAATTGGTCATAATCTTTAATGTAGTTGTGTATGCCGTGATTGGCAGACCTGCCAACCTCTGGAGTTCAAAAACTGTTTTCTTTAAGCCCAAAAGTTGTATTTAAAAAAAAAACATGGATCAATGCCTCTTACAGTTCCTACATATTACAGGAAGATTTTTTTTATGGATCATTGGTTGAATATGCATGATTTCGTCATGACTGGTGTGTTTGATGAACCAATAAACATCCCGAAATTGCCGATGTGAGAATGCATGAAGGATTACAGGACAGAATGGGCATTTCGCCATTGATAATGGCACACACACACACACACACACACAGAATACCTCCCCGCCCCCTCCAAATTTTTGTTGTTGTTGTTGTGGAAAATCTTATTTTATTGAGGAAAATCGTACCATCGTATTTACTTTTAAAAATCATTAAAAATATGATTAAATCGTACTGGTTGGTATCTCAGGATTGGGCGTGGCAACTAAGCTTGGGTTCTACAAGGTAGAAAGAATAAAGATATACCGTAAATCTCTGTGTATAAGGCGCACCCCTATTTTTAAAACTTAAAAAATAATAAAAAAAAAAATAAAAAAAAAATCAGGAAGAAAAACAAAAATGGAAATTCTTTTAGATTTTTTTGCTTTTTGATAAAACCAGATCAGATCCAGTCTTAGTTCAGCCTTCGGAAATACTTTCATGTTATTACGTGGCACAGTTGAAGTGGTTGTGAACCAAGTTAGACCTTTGCGCAACAACAACCAAATCCAGCGGTCAAAACAGCACGTCCAGTTGAACATATGGGACTATGAACGGTAGGATGACTAGAAAATGGTACAGGACAATTCTAGAATAACTCCACACAACTTACCGACAATTTCAAGTTGCATTGTTGATATGAAGACGAAAATAAACTGCATAACTTATTTTCTAATAAAATCTAAATTTAGATCCAAGTCCGTACCATTGCATCGCCAAAAAGTAAAAGAAGGGACGTGAAAGATTGTTACTTGCGGAGCTAGCTGCCGCGCAACGCAACTGCGCAAGTTAAAGTCGCAATTTCGTATTACACCGCACATTGTGGTAGGATACCAAATCTGCCCCGTGTAAGTGAGCTGCATGATACAGGTGAGCGAGCTGAAGACACGGGAGAGCTTCGGCCAGCAAAGTGCTTTTTGAAGGGAATAATTTATGAAACTGAAAAAAAATAAATCTCTTCTCTTCAAATTAGGAACGTAGTTTTACTTCAAATAATAGATTCTATTCTTTATTTGCATTATGTAATTCATGTTGAGACACAGAGATTTTTGAAAACCACTAAAAAGTAGCATTTTGAGGACTCAAAATATCCTGTACCTGTGTATAAGGCGCACCCCCAACTTTTGATTTTTCCCCGACAGATAAAAAGTGCGCCTTATACACAGGGATTTACGGTACAAAAAAAAATGTGCATCCATGATTCACGTCCCCTCACTTTTTTTTAGTGGAAAAAATTCAACTTTCCAAGACTGATAGTATTAGACAATGTTAGTACGGTAGCTGTACACAAAAAACATTATTTTTTAAGGTGACCGCTGGGAGACCACATTTTGACTTTTTAGAGAAAAGACAATAAAACTCTAATGAATTTTGTTAAGCTGTGGGAGGTAGCCCTCATAAAGATGAAACTAAAAATGCCACCATCGAACTGGGAGCCCTTTTAACTGTTTTAAATAACAGAGCTCCCAATTGCAAAAATGCAGAACTTCTAAAAAGGAAACTATCCATGAAATGGGACTTAATTATCTGAGTTATACTTACATTGCGTGGAAACTTTGTGAACGAGTGGAACATGTAAAATCTGTGCATGTATACAATGGCTGTGTTGATACACAATTGAAATCTGAATAAATAAATGTCAAGGAAATATTTTAGATTGAATAATTAACATTTACTTTCCGATAACAGCTAGTGCTTTGACCGTGCACATGTGTATCAGTGTACACGAACGAACCACCACTACACGTGTAGAAAATTCACTAAACAGATATACAAAGAAAAAAAATCCACCGTTTCTCAGCAACATAAATTGCTGAAGTCAATATTTCACAAAAATAAAGTTTAAATTGCAATGCTACTTCATTAAATAATCATTTCCATAAACTGTACAATTTTGATCCAATGCCGTATAGTCTCTTCTCATGTCGTCATGCAAACAATGCCAATCAATGCGGTCTGACTTTCCAATGAGCGCGATGGTTTAGTATGCAGTACTGTTACTACAGTAACAACTTTTACAAAAAAATCCTTGTTTTGTTGGATGTGCCATGTATTCCCGGAGCTTGATGCGCACTGGTTTCCATTGTCTGTTTGTTTTAGTACATAAAAGATAATACTGCAAACCATTGTAGCATTCGGTCTTACGTGGCTGAAATACTGCTTTTGTTTTTGGTAAATTTCATAACCATGTACATAAGTACATTAGGCCCGTTTTGAGTAAACGTTTAATCGTATACCCAAGCCTTTTATTAAGACAAAGCAGACCGGGAGCAAAATATCTGAAAAAGTGGCTCCCGGTTCTTAATTTTTTTTTTAGAGAACCAGGAGCCGTTTCCAAAATTGATGAAAATATGCATTCTTTTAAATCATTTGTTAACCGTTACCTTTTACTTATTCATTATTCATTGTCATAAGTCTATATCAGTACACTATAAATTAACCCTGTAAGTCGTGGCTTTAATCTGATTGAAAGGGGAGAATACAAACAAATATTTAAAAAAAAACTTATTAAAAAAAATATATAAAAAAATAAAAATAAATAAATTGAAATTTGTCAAGTTTTAGGCCAGCAATTACTAAATAAACATGCAAAGCTGGGATTATTTTGTCATTTGGAGTTGTTGTATACCATGTTTGTTGATGTGAAGTGCCTTTTCATGACTTTGAAATTAATAATATTAGTCTAAGAGAAGAAGCAGAACATGCAAGCCGCCATCTTGGATTATAATGACAATGGAAAACAAATTGCATGCTTAAATTATAATTCAAAGTGACGGCTCGCATTTTTTACCTCTCCTCCCAGACTAATGTCATTAATTTCAAAGTCATGAAAAACACTAAATATCTACAAACACGGTCTACAGCTATGCATTTTTTTTAGTATTTGATAGCCCAAAACTTAAAAATTGTTGGCATATTTATTTTTAAAAAATATTAAAATATTTGTTTTTTACCAATTTTTTCCTGATCATTTTCATTGATCGGCGATCGGACTTTGTGCGCAAAATTACGAAATTGTGATCTATCCATCATGATTGCCACAATTTGTATATAGTTTCCATGAAAAGAATTGTGAAATCAAAGTTTGGATTGTGATTAATTAGGCCATGTATACTGAATTTTGAGAATCGTTTTTCAAAGTAAGATTTTCACAACGAAGTCAAACTTTTAGACAGAGTGAGATTGTTGCTTAATCCCTAGCGGTGGCGCTAGGAGTAGGAGATATACATTAGCGGCCGCTCGTAGTCGTGCTGCAATTATTTCGGTGCGATTTCAATTAGGATTCTCATTATAAAATGATTTGTTAGGGTTCATTTAGTCCACATTTAACTCGTATGAAGAAAGTTTTTGTCACATTGGTGAGCATTTAGTGCTAGATATGTGGAAGTTCCTGAAATAGGAAATTTTAATTCTCCCAAACTGGGCGCCGGGTACTCATTTTCCCCGTCTTACCCGGCGCCAAAAGTCAGGGACTGTTTGGTAAAAATCGCCCGGCGCACGGTTAATAAATAACTCTTTTGATAGAAACATCGGTGAGACTTGAAATTTGAAATGCATTATTCTGATTACATTTTTTATTCAAATATCAAACAAAAATGGTGAAAAACGATCCCAAATTGAAAATTGAAAAATCGTTCAGACACCTTAATAGAGTAAAGGATGGGGTTTTCGGCCACTTAAAGGCGAAATTCAAAGAAAATCACAAGTATGTAAACTATTGTATCACTAGAAACTGGTAAGCTAAGTGATGGCCATCGTACAAGTGGCATGTCAAACCATGCAAAAGGGGATATGACCCGATTCTGATAACTAAAATCTTTTGCTTGTAAATACACAGGATAGGGGTTAATTAACAATCAAAGAAACCAGACTTTCAAATTGAAAACCCCCTGGAATGATATTAAGGACGGCATTTGTTCCCTCTTGAAACTCCGAACATACCGCGATGTGTCCAGCTGAATATACAATGGCGTCTTATTTTGTTTACAAGCAACAGATTCCTTTATTTTTGCATCGCTGCATTTTCATCAAAATAAATCCATGCGCATGAGGCAATAGATTATACATTTAGCCTGACGGTAGTGAAGTAAGAGAAAGAACTCAAGAGAAGATGAAAACACAGGCACTGAAAATGTGAGAGATGTCATGGGACATCGTCCGCTTGTGCAAATCATGTCCATACTGTGATCTCACACATCTCAACAGCGTTTGGAAAGCTCTTCAGGTGTTATGCCGGGGCTGTATTTAAGCATTTTGTAATTTATAATAATCATTACTTCAAATGTTTCCAAGCATTGAATTTTGGTAACCTTGTCGAATCAAATTTTTAACTTTGCAATAATGAAAATAAAGTAATTTTTTGAAATCAATGAATAGTCTACCTACTTTAAGACAAAATCCTATCTTTTGGACCTTTACTTCCTATTTATCATCATTTTTTGTTTAAATCATGAAGCAAATATTATTATTATTTAAACAAAAAAAGAATCCCAGAAAAAAATCACGAATTGCCATGACAATATTCATTTCAATTTTCACTGTTTCGGAGGGAGTTATCGGCCGCATGTACAAAGTCAATAGGAAGCGCGCACGCACGCGCCGTGCATTTCCGCGCTGATCTATAGCACTAGTGGGCGGAGCAGGTATCCCACGCCGGAGCTCCCAGGAGCTCACCAGGCTGAAAACTAGTACTGCGGTGATCGGAAATTGGAATCTGAATTAGACAGAGATATCATGTGTGCGTTGCGGTGTCCGGCTGCATTGATTTAATACATGCGGTGAGATACTTTTGAGCTTGCGACTAACACAAAATCGGGCTTTAAATCTGAAAAATACTTGAAATAAAGCTCATTTCATGGTAACCATATTTCTTACAGACACTTGTAAGATACTCGATTTTTCAGATTCGGGTAGCGGGACCGCCGATTACATCGCTAAAATGTGATATTTTAGGATTTATTTTCCATTGCAAATGTGGTTCTTCAGTGACTCTGGCATGGTATGGTATGTATGGCAGGGAATAATTTTCCTGGTATCGCATCGCAATTTGCTATGCATTTTTGCATGACTGCTATACAAAATATCTTTTGTGTAGCAGTTTTCTTCCATAGAAATGTACAGAATTTCATTTGAAATATTTATCCATCGGCTGAAATTGCTAATAAAAAAATTTGAGGAAAATTATTCCCTGTATGGTATGTGTGGGATATGTGATATGCTGTTATGCGATGTATTTTAAAGGGATTTTACCATGCATCCAACGGTAGGATGTCTGAACGATTTAGACTGTGGGGCAAGGGCCAGTTAACCATCTAAAAAAAAAGTTTCGTAGTCCCATCTTTGGCAGAGAAAACTAACTATACCAAATGATTGTGATGAAGTTGCTGATGAGAAAACACCTTTGTTCTCCAAATTTCGTACACCCGTTGATGAGATAACATGCTAATTAGTTTAATTGGATTTTAACAAGATTTCCTTGAAAAAGACTAGCGCCAACTATGGTAAATAGTCCATTTTGCTGATTCAAAGTTGCTATTACTTGATTCTTTTTTGCAAAATGTTTATTTCAGACCTCTATGAGACTGTTCAGGTGTGATTTTTCTGCGCAATTAATTTAATCCGCTAATTAGTTTTATTGGATTTTAACAAGATTTCCTTGAAAAAGACTAGCGCCAACTATGGTAAAATCGCCATTTTGCTGATTCAAAAGGCATTCAAATTTGCTGTTTCTTGATTATTTTTTGCAAAACATTTATTTCAGACCTCTATGAGACTGTTCGGGTGTGATTTTTCTGCGCAATTAATTTATATTTATGCTGTTGGTGAACTTGAAAACACTAATTGCAATTTTCCACGTTTTTTTAATATTTCAGCACGTCATCAAGACGAGTTTTGTTAAGCCCAAGTTATGTAATTTCTTGCATCTTGTTTAAGTTACCATCTGTTTGTATATTCATGTCACTCATTTAACTCTTCCTTTTTTCCCTATTTCTCTCTCTATCTCTCTCTCTCTCTCTCATCACACACGTTTTTTGTTCTCATGTCTCCTCTTAAAAATCTCTTTTTCTTCCCCTGTTGTTTTCTCCTTACTCTTCCATTCTCTTTCATCATAATTTACCTTATTATATTCAACATGTCTTATTGAGTTTCATCAACTGTGCAAACTCCTTCCAATCAAATCATCAATATTGTTGCTTTTAGTTTATTTTCCACTTCCCCGAAAAATATATTGCTGTTCAAAACTTTGTTAATACTAATACTAGGTAGTACTAGCAACACTGCTCATGGTCTGCATAGCATCAGTTTAGAACAATACAAATTTCAAAGAGAAACCTAACAACAAATTCATACCAAAACTGCCAAATAAATTATATTCTTCTCTGTTTAATTTGATTTCATTCATTACGTAAAATGTATTACCGTACTACCATTTTGTCAATGACATTTATCTACAAGTAGATTACCGGGTACTTTTTCTAAAACCGGTACTTGCCACTGCCAGTGAAATCAGAACTATGGTACATGTATGTTGTAATTTACAAATGCAATTTAACTTGAACTGCAAAGATTGTTAACAGTTTTTACATAAATATTGATGGAATTGAAATAAATTATGAAACATTGATAAGATGTGTCTAGTCATTTGTTGTCTTTTTTTTTTTTGGTTCAAAGAAAATGTCCTAAAATATGTTGATAGAAAAATTGCCAAAAAGCTGTTACTGTTGAGGAATTCATAAATTTTACATATTTCGATTAGAACAAGTGTCCAAAGAGTGTGATGGAAAGTTTGAAACGACCCATACATTTGAACGTAATAAAGTTTTATATTTGACTATAAATCTTGGCAATGCTTCAACATGGCAAAATACATGTATGCATAATAAATAATAAATGTCCATATTATTATTATTATTATGAAACAAATGAGCATGCAATGCAAGTACAATAGTACATTACTGTAAGTGATTACTTAGTAAACATTTTTCCAGCTCTGAAATTATATCTTTACATATATTTAGTATATTCTTATATTACAGTTGCACATAATGTATATGTAAAACACCCCAGTCGACCCATACATTTGTATATGTCTATTCATGAAAGGTTGGTTATTTTGTACATAATTAACAAAGGAACCATAGGGATATAAAAATCATTTTTTTTTAATCCCCAAATTGAATAAGAAATATCAGAGAAAAGGTTTCACAATGATCTTGCCTTTGTTCATTTTAATTTTATCATATATATTTGTTGTTATCAATAGAACCAGTTAATGTTGAAAAATCTGCTGATAAACAGCAAAAAATATTGCATACATCTAGTGCTCAATATGAACGCGTACATTTTATGCTGATGGTCTCAAATAGGTCCAACAAATCAAAGCTGGCAGATGAGCGCCGAGATTGTAGACTCCTACACAGCTTCTTAGGTTGTGAAGGGATATCAGATGGATCTGGGGGAAAAAGAATATAAAACACTAGGTCAGAAACAAAGCTCATATCAAAAATTGGCGATAGCTTCGCTGTCATTTCAAAAATTTCAGATAGCTTTGGCGTCTTTTAAAAATTCTTTAAATGTTTCAAAAACAAAAATTCATATTAGTCTACAAGTCATTTCGAAAATTGGCAATAGCTTCGCCGTCTTTTCTATTTTAAAATTAAAATTGTTGATACTGATAGCTTGACAGCCGCCATGTCTATCTTCATGTTAGAAAAAGTGCCCCTTGTCTAAATATGCTTTCTATTTTGACCCCTATTGAGTGTGCAACTATAATGGCTTCATGCACTGATTACAAAAAAATGTAAACAACACACCACATCCCAGCACTAAATAAACCAGTTTAAAATAATGCTGTTTTGACCAGGACAATGAGTTAAACTAACTAGGAAGGCATGTCTAAAGTTAAGTAAAGCCTGGCTCAATGCGTCCAACTTGTCCGACATTTTTTTTGTTTTCCATTAGGCCTATTATTATAATTTACAGCTAAGGAGGGTCTACATGTACGTACATGATTACATCAATGACATAACAAACAAAATTGATGTCAACTCACAGAGGCATTGTAAACGATTCAATCAACTGACAGACTTCATCATTCAAGCTCCATCATGCATGCATAAAGGGCCTAAATCTAGGCCTAGCCCATAGGCCTAGGCCTAGAGCCTAGAGCCTAGAGCCTAGAGGGTCTAGACTCTATTCTCTAATTGTTTTTTTTTTAATGAGGCTAGAGCTAGATCAAAGTAAAGGCAGGGCCTTAATTTTTGCTGGGTTATCATGGTTATCATGGTTATTGCAAACAAAGAAATTGAAACTCACCTTCAAATTCAGTCTTGTTAGAATCTCGAGGTATTTTACGGAGAAAAGTGCAAAATTGAGACGGATTTCCTTGCCAATGTCGCCGGTATTGAACCGTATACATACAGCGACAGTACCAGTGCAGCGCAAATTACAACATTGTCATTTGCAATGCACCACTGGTACTGTCGCCGTATACAACAACCGTGAAGGCACGTATACGGGCGACATTGGCAAGGAAATCCGTCGCAATTTTGCTCTTTTCTCCGTCCATATTTTTCAAAATATCAGCAGAAGCAAAAGCTTTGGACCATTTTGTGTCTGTAAATTCTTTCAAAACGACATCATTCACAGTCGGGAAGTGAATAAAACACCTCTTTATCTCTGTATCGGTGACGAAACTTCATCGGTGTCATAATTATGGTTGTTAGATGTTTTTATGTAGCGAACGAGGACAATGACGTAGGGAAAATCCCGCCTCGTGATTGGTTGAATTGGACACACCTCCGATTTCCCGGGATATTACCCACGATTATTAGGAGGCAACATAATTATTATCTTTAATTAGTTTTCACGAAAAACCGTAAAGAAAATGAGGAGAACAAACGGTAAATATGTTTGTAATAATTTTCTTTATATTTTCATACTGGTTTGGTCGACTGCCACTGATGGGACTACGAAACAACACAATACAGTGACTTGCCCTACAGTCTAATTTTTCAATTTTCAATTTGGGATCGTTTTTCACCATTTTTGTTTGATATTTGAATAAAAAATGTTATCAGAATAATACATTTCAAATTTCAAGTCTCACCGATGTTTCTATCAAAAGTTACAGCCCCTCCAAAATGCTGGTATATTCATATCATTTTGGTCAAAATCGACGAAAAAGACGTCCACGCAGAGTGATGTTGTTTTGCTAAATTCAGACAAACAGCTGTATCGCGCGATATGCAAGCGTATGCATATAGTACGCATGTTGCTAAGCCAATGCGCGACTTGCAGCTTGAGCCACGCTGTCTCCGCGATATGTGCCATTGACTAGTATGGTTGGCAATTCGCGCCGTAGAACCCGGAAGTGAATACACGTTGTAGTCAATGGCAATATCGCGGAGACTGCGATATTGCCATTGACTATAACGTGTATTCACTTCCGGGTTTATCGAGGGAATTGCCAACCATAATTTCATTCACTATAATGTGTTATTGAATTTGGGGTTTCGTTCGTGCGCGGAGATGTTACGCGATGTAACCATGGTTTGGACTGAGCGGAGCGCACGCCCCCTAATTAGCTGATCCACCAAATAGCGAGAAGGGTATTTTTAAACTGTTATCAGTTGTGATCCCTCGGGGCTAGCGAAAATATAAGCACATAGAATTGTTCCTTAGGACTGGGACTACTTATCGATCGGGGCGTCATATCTCAAAAGTGACAAACCTCAGAGTTAGCCAGGACACAATGTTTAAATTGCTGTTTTGACCAAGATATTTTTAGAATTTCGGGGGCTATGCCCCTTTGGAAATATCGGAATTCACCTGCTCTATCATATGACACCTCATTTATTGATTATCACCTTCAGGATCACAACAGATAAAGGTTTGAATCTCGATTTGAAAAAAAAAAATTGACTTTTTTTGCATGGTCGCACAATGCACGTAGACTGCATAGGGATGCGTGTAATCTCTATGGGAAGAATTTTAGCACACAACATCGGGTGCGCGATCAGACACCCTACCAATGGATAGGCCGAAAACTGGTGATGGTCGATTACTCCCTCCTTTACTCTAGAGTAAAGGAGCCCGTTTTCGGCCACTTAAGACAAAATCCTTTTTTTAGGACCCTTTACTTCCTATTTATTATCATTTCTTGTTCAAATCATGAAGCAAATATTATTATTATTTAAACAAAAAAAGAATCCCAGAAAAAAATCACGAATTGCCATGACAATATTCATTTCAATTTTCACTGTTTTGGAGCCCGTTATCGGCCGAGCGTTTCAGTTTACGGCCGCATGTACAAAGTCAATAGGAAGCGCTCGCGCGCGCCGTGCGTTTCCGCGCTGATGTACAGCACAAGCGGGCGGAGCAGGTATCCCACGCCGGAGCTCCCTGGTGCTCGCCTGGCCGAAGACAGGCACAGCGGTGATCGGAAGTTGGAATCTGAATTAGACAGAGATATCGTGTGTGCGTTGCGGTGTGCGGCTGCATTGATTTAATACATGCGATGAGATACTTTTGAGCTTGCGACTAGCACAAAATCGGGCTTTAAATCTGAAAAATACTTGAAATAAAGCTCATTTTATGGTACCCATACAGGGCTTGCCCTTAACTTTTTTTGAGGTGGCCAGCAGGGCCACTTGGGTAGGAGATCTGGGTGGCCAAATGGATTTTCAGGTGGCCCCACTTTTATGCGTTATTAAATAATGCAAATGTTTAATAAAAAAATGCATAAATTATACGTGTTAATTAAAAGCAGCATGAGCTGCATTTAATAATGAAAGGTGAGTGACTCTTTAGACTCTCATTCCAAATCCTCTCTCTTTGTTTCTATACTTCTGTCTCAACTTCACTTCAATGTTTTTCTCCCTTTATCCTTGTCTATCATGCATCACAAGGACCCCCACCCCCTTAAGTTAGGATTGTACAGGGCACACAAGGCGCCAAACTTCTGCTTTTCTTTGAGCTCCAAGTTCTGTTGGAAGATATAAAATTGATTGTATATTTACTTTAGGCCCGAGTCGAAACGGGTCCCCGCCCGGGCCCCGACCGTCGAGCTGAAACCCGGTTTTTGGTTTTCGGGTTTCGGGTTTTTCAAAATTAAATTTCACACTGATATTTTGAAATATAGAACTAAAAATATGGAATTCACACACTTATATTTCAATATAATCAAATAAATATGCTTTAGAAATAAATGGATATTGTTTCAGTTGACGGTAGGTGTTTTTATCGCTCTAAAATTGAGGCTGCAAGAAAGGAATCACGCTTCGTGGTACCGATCGAGTGCGTTCAGAAAAAGAAGTGGAAATAGATATATGACCCACTGAAGACAGAGCAAGAAAATGCCACACACAAGAGTAAAATATTGATCAGACTATTGCAATTAAATCGTAATACTAAAGGCATTAATTTAATTGTCAAAATATATCCACAACATAATGGTTTATCTTTGATAGTTTGATGAAGGAAAATAAATTAGAGCTCTTGAAATAACATCGGAGTGCCTTTCGTTCGTTCTAAAAAATGCGTGTATAACGGCAAGCAGAAGTTACGAGTCAAGCTTGATATGCACGTTTAAATCCCTACACCGTCATCCGACCTGATCGGAACAATAAGCATTAAACCAATTAAAAAACATCACGTAAGACTTTAAGGGACTCCAATTCAACAAAATTACCGTAAAATAATTATTTGCTTTGACAAATAATACTATAGATATTCATAATATCTTACAGAAATAATGATATTTCATGAGCTACGTACTCGATATCGAGTTCAGCTAGCCATCATTTTGAAATAAGACGTAGTTGTCATGCGATGCAGCGCAGAATGCGGCATCTCGCAGCTAGAGAGAGGGAAAAAAAACATCACGTAATAGTCACGTGAATATCACGTGATCTCAGGCCCGCGCTTTTTCCTCTCTCTTCTGCATACTGCCCTCTACAGTCTACTGCATGACAACTACGTCTCATTTCAAAATGATGGCTAGCTGAACTCGATATCGAGTACGTAGCTCATGAAATATCATTATTTCTGTAAGATATTATGAATATCTATAGTATTATTTGTCAAAGCAAATAATTATTTTACGATAATTTTGTTGAATTGGAGTCCCTTTAAGTCTTCCGTGATGTTTTTTAATTGGTTTAATGCTTATTGTTCCGATCAGGTCGGAACTTACCCGCCCGAAATCTCATGCGCAGTTTGTAACTGCGCAACAAAGAGTTGAGAAGCGTACTAGCTGTGCTGCAATGCGGATATCGACAGCTAACGCGGTAGCATACTATGATAGCGCTACGCCTATGTACCGGCCGGGCCGGGGTGGCGGCGGCGGTGTGTACAGTACCTACGCGACGGCGTGCATCGTTTTTATAAAGTTAGTATACGAAACGAAACATTTCCTTGTTTACTAGATCGGATTGCGTCGCTTGGATAAGCTTGGGAAAATAAATGTCGCCTCGGTTTCGGGTAGATCTAAAGGTTAAACAAGTTGTTGATAAATAATTTATATATTACTGTCCAAATATTTGGGTGGCCAGCCGGGCCATCTAGTCGGTGATTTCAGGTGGCCCGACAGCGTTTCAGGTGGCCATTGGCACCGGGCCACCGCTAAATTCGAGCCCTGCCATATTTCTTACAGACACGCGTAAAATACTCGATTTTTTAGATTCGGGTAGTGGGACCGCCGATTACATCGCTAAAATGTGATATTTTAGGATATATTTTCCATTGCAAATGTGGTTCTTCAGTGACACTGGCATGGTATGGTATGTGTGGGATATGTGTTATGCTATTATGCGATGTATTTTAGAGTGATTTTACCTTGCATCCAACCAATCGGCCGAAAACGGGAGCTGGCCGATTACGGGCTCCTTTACTCTATTAGTGTGTCTGATCGCGCACCCAATGTTGTGTGCTAAAACCCTTCCCATAGAGATTGTACGCTTCCCTATGTGGTCTACGTGCATTGCGCGACCATCCAAAATTGGTCAATGATTTTATGAAAAAATTTGAAATTCAAACCTTTATAACAAATGATCCTGAAGGTGAAACTCAATAAATGAGGTGTCATATGAAAGAGCAGGTTTTTCTCCATATTCCCCATCGGGGGCCACCCCCAGAATTCTAAAAATATCTTGGTCAAAACAGCGATTGAAATGTTGTTTGCATCCTAGCTCCAAAATTTGCCACTTTCGTGAGCTGCCGCCCCGCGGCTTAAGCAGGGCTAGACGTAAGGATAATATCCAGATGCTTTTTTTTTCGCTAGCCCCAAGGGATCATTTGTTATAACAGTTTGAAAATACCCTTCCCACATTTTTGGAATCAGCTAATTAGGGAGGCGTGAGCTCCGCTCAGTCCAAACCATGGTTACATCGCGTAACATGTGCGCTTATAGTGAATGAAAGTATGGGTGGCCGTTCCCGCCATAGAACCCGGAAGTGAATACACGTTATAGTCAATGGCAATATCGCGGAGACATCTCCGCGATATTGCCATTGACTATAACGTGCATTCACTTCCGGGTTTTTTGTGCGACGAACGCCAACCATACTAGTCAATGGCACATGTCGCGGAGACAGCGTAGCTCAAGCTGCAAGTCGCGGATTGGCTTAGCAGCATGCGTACGATATGCATACGCTTGCATATCGCGCGATACAGCTGTTTGGCTAAATTTAGCAAAACAACATCACTCTGCGTGGACGTCTTTTTCGTCGATTTTGACCAAAATGATATGAATATACCAGCGTTTTGGAGGGGCTGTTACTTTTGATAGAAACATCGGTGAGACTTGAAATTTGAAATGTATTATTCTGATATCATTTTTTATTCAAATATCAAACAAAAATGGTGAAAAACGATCCCAAATTGAAAATTGAAAAATCGTTCAGACACCCTAATAGGGTGTCTGATCGCGCACCCGATGTTGTGTGCTAAAATTCTCCCCATAGAGATTACACGCATCCCTATGCAGCCTACGTGCATTGCGCGACCATGCAAAAAAAAGTCAATTTTTTTTTTTCAAATCGAGATTCAAACCTTTATCAGTTGTGATCCTGAAGGTGATAATCAATGAATGAGGTGTCATATGAAAGAGCAGGTGAATTCCAATATTTCCAAAGGGGCGTAGCCCCCGAAATTCTAAAAATATCTTGGTCAAAACAGCAATTTAAACATTGTGTCCTGGCTAACTCTGAGGTTTGTCACTTTTGAGATATGACGCCCCGATCGATAAGTAGTCCCAGTCCTAAGGAACAATTCTATGTGATTATATTTTCGCTAGCCCCCAGGGATCACAACTGATAACAGTTTAAAAATACCCTTCTCGCTATTTGGTGGATCAGCTAATTAGGAGGCGTGCGCTCCGCTCAGTCCAAACCATGGTTACATCGCGTAACATCTCCGCGCACGAACGAAAAAGTGACTGAAATTATGGTTGGCAATTCCCTCGATAAACCCGGAAGTGAATACACGTTATAGTCAATGGCAATATCGCGGAGACAACGTGCGTTGTCTCCGCGATATTGCCATTGACTATAACGTGCATTCACTTCCGGGTTTATTGTGCGACGAACGCCAACCATACTAGTCAATCGCACATGTCGCGGAGACAGCGTAGCTCAAGCTGCAAGTCGCGGATTGGCTTAGCAGCATGCGTACGATATGCATACGCTTGCATATCGCGCGATACAGCTGTTTGGCTAAATTTAGCAAAACAACATCACTCTGCGTGGACGTCTTTTTCGTCGATTTTGACCAAAATGATATGAATATACCAGCGTGTTGGAGGGGCTGTAACTTTTGATAGAAACATCGGTGAGACTTGAAATTTGAAATGTATTATTCTGATAACATTTTTTATTCAAATATCAAACAAAAATGGTGAAAAACGATCCCAAATTGAAAATTGAAAAATCGTTCAGACACCCTAACCCTAACTCTATATCAATTAATTTACCCTTCCACCCTGCCATATCCAAGTTTTGGGTTGATTAGTGCCGACCCACCGCAGCAAGGCCATTCAGCTTTCTGTATGCGCGCGAAGCGCCCTCTAGTGCCACATGAATGTGCCTATCCCTGGGGTTAAAACTAGATGATAAATCTAACTGTTACTACTAGACTCGATTGCTCACAAAACTCTAACATAGACCTAGGGTCTAGATCTACTAGGAATGTTTTACTCGAATATATTAGACAGTAAATATACACCATGTACATGTAGAATCTACATGTATCAGATGCAGACCTACTCAACACTCGCATAATCGATCTTGACTTTAGCAATAGCACTAGATCTAGGCCTACACACGTCGATTACACACATTGCATGCAGTAGTTCAGCAGCATACTCCACAACTAAGTTAGTTGAACATTCGACTGGCGATATCGCCATGTTGAAAATATTTGAAGAAGGATACACTTGTAGGCGTTGCCCCATATCCTGAATTAGATTGGCAGCCTGCTGCCTGTAAGACAGCTCTTTCTCTGGCTCTGTTCCACATTTTGCGGAAGGACTGTTTCTCAGTTGTTCTGTAGAAAAATACCAACGGTCGGGTTTTGTCGCCATTAGTCCCGTACCGGCGAATTATCCAAGAGACAGCGCATGCGCATTTCATCCGATAACGTAATTTCTCGTACGTACGTACATTCTCAATCTCGTCTCTGACGTGACGCGATTGATTTTTTACTGGTGATCCTTTTCATAGTGAAGGCTTTACACATCGATGCGTACCAAGCAAGACATAATACAACACAGAAATAGATTACAGTCTCGGTGATGTCGTAGAGCAATATATAATGCGGGTGCCGGTGCCGCTGAAGCATGTAGCTAGCTCTGGTATCGTGTATACGCACGTTTGTACGTACCTAGACGAACTGGTAGTAGTTGTACTCTGCATGCATGATATGCAGCAGTGAAGTGTCGCCGCGCCGGTGCTTTACCTGATTTATTTGTACGAATTAGGAACTGGGACAACCGGTACGGTCACATAAACGTTGTAATGTGAGTAAAAACTGTTAAAACATCACACGGCATTACAAGGGGACGAAATTTAAAGTCTCATTGCTCGACCATTTTGCGCATAGATCTAGATCTAGGGCAATTCCACGGTAACGGAAGGACACTCAGACAAGATTTTTGAACTTCAGGTTCATACTAGATCTAGGTCTAGGCCTATTACTAAAACTAAGAAATGTTTTATTAGTAGGCCTAGAGTCTATGTATTAAACTATGGGGAACAAAATGTGTTTCAGTCAAGTGGAAAGCTTCATCAACTTCACAAAGTTTGGATAAACACTAATGAACTGGAAAAACCATGTCCATTTTTATGTCCTTCCGTTACCGAGATAATTAATATGCACATTCTTAAACTACTTAACTATAATGACAATTTTTGGGGGGAGAATTAAAGGCACTTAGACTCTATATAGATCTAGACCGAATTTTTCTGTCTCTTTCGTTCGTTAGCCTCTGATTTGGGTAGGTCGGCTCTCTCTTTAGAGACAGAACAGCCCTATACGCTGTAGTGGCCGCGCGTTTGTACTAAGAAACGTTACACAAAACTTGGCCAAACTTAATCCCTAATTTTGATATTTTACCGGATGCGTATCCGATGCATTTAAAGTCCTAAATTAGCTAAATACTTAACTACTTCGGTTCCACTTACCAACTTGACTGGAATAATCCGTTTAATGGTCCATTTTTAGGAAATTATGGGTCAAGATCGACATCCATGAAGAAAATCTTGCAGCCGAGTCTCATTCTTTCTAGTCTACGCCGAAGGCAAAATGATTATAACGGAAAAACTGTGCATGTCATTACGAACTCGTAGCTCGTGCACAGTTTTTCCGTTATAACAACTAATGTCAGTTTTATTAAAGAAATGACCCAAATCAGATGGTTATTGCTGTTTACCTACACACGTGCGCGATACATGCGTTAGGTCTATATCAGGTCCTGATAGATCTAACTTTTTGTTAGATCTAGATATAATAATTCACCAAATCAGAAATAGTCTAGAGTCTAATCTAGATCTAGGCTATATCAATTAGTAGCCTAGAGGTCTAGGCGGTTTCTCTGCAAAATTTGTATCATCACGTATTAGATTAGTCAAAACATATTCTTTCACATGATGGGTAATAAGAGCTTCCATTTCATATTTTGAGAGGGGTGCATTTCCAAAACTGGTCTTTACCTGGCTTTAAGTTAGACTCTAGACTTACTTAGAATTAGATATAGATCTAGATCTAGATATAGGGTGTCTGAACGATTTTTCAATTTTCAATTTGGGATCGTTTTTCACCATTTTTGTTTGATATTTGAATTAAAAATGTAATCAGAATAATACATTTCAAATTTCAAGTCTCGCCGATGTTTCTATCAAAAGATACAGCCCCTTCAAAACGCTGAAATATTTATAGCATTTTGCTCAGAATCGACGAAAAAGACGTACACGCAGAGTTATGTTGTTTTGCTAAATTTAGCCAAACAGCTGTATCGCGCGATATGCAAGCGTATGCATATCGTACGCAAGTTGCTCAGCCAATGCGCGACTTGCAAGCTTGAGCCACGCTGTCTCCGCGATATGTGCCATTGACTAGTATAGGTTACTGTTCCCGCCATAGAACCCGGAAGTGAATACACGTTGTAGTCAATGGCAATATCGCGGAGACAACTCTCCGCGATATTGCCATTGACTACAACGTGTATTCACTTCCGGGTTCTATGGCGGGAACGGCCACCCATACTTTCATTCACTATAAGCGCACATGTTACGCGATGTAACCATGGTTTGGACTGAGCGGAGCTCACGCCTCCCTAATTAGCTGATTCCAAAAATGTGGGAAGGGTATTTTCAAACTGTTATAACAAATGATCCCTTGGGGCTAGCAAAAAAAAAAGCATCTGGATATTATCCTTACGTCTAGCCCTGCTTAAGCCGCGGGGCGGCAGCTCAGGAAAGTGGCAAATTCTGGAGCTAGGATGCAAACAACATTTCAATCGCTGTTTTGACCAAGATATTTTTAGAATTCTTGGGGTGGCCCCCGATGGGGAATATGGAGAAAAACCTGCTCTTTCATATGACACCTCATTTATTGAGTTTCACCTTCAGGATCATTTGTTATAAAGGTTTGAATTTCAAATTTTTTCATAAAATCATTGACCAATTTTGGATGGTCGCGCAATGCACGTAGACCACATAGGGAAGCGTACAATCTCTATGGGAAGGGTTTTAGCACACAACATTGGGTGCGCGATGCTCGGACAACTCTCACTGACCGCGCGATGCTCCGATGCGCCCATTCACATACACACAGATCGCATGCATTGTGAATGCGGAGGGCGGATTCACCCCGGAAACACCATAAACAGCCCCTGAAATAGGCTCAAAATCCGATTTCGGGGGCGGCATCAAAAAGTGAAATGATCTCAAATCGCCCCCGTAACGATTACGAGCAGCCGCGCACTCTCTTCTAGCTTCGTATTCATTGTGTGCATTTCTTGGTCCGCGCGCTGAATCTCCATGTGAAATTGTATACACAAAAATCGGTCGTAAAAAAACTTGAACCTTATTCCATTCCTTACCTGGCTTACCATGTCGCACGCAAGTACGCCAAAACACATACATTTTCGCAGTTGCGATATCGGGATGGAGCGTAGGGGTCGAGTTTTTGGTGGTCGATTTTGTTTTGGTAGATCAAATTAGCTGAACCTAGACCATATTACCACTAAACATCGCGAAACTGCAATCAATTTCCATCACGAATTCACGATTGCCGCAATTTTATAAAGTTTCCATAAATAGAGGTATGAAATTAAAGCCTATTTTGTGATTATTCTCGCCATATTTACGTAATTTTGATAATCATTTCTTCAAAGTAAAGAAAATCAGACAAAATCACCGTGACTGACACGCATACATTGCCGCTGTGCAGTGTGTGAGTTGAGCTGAGCTGCAGTTAACTCGATCCAGGAAGCTCCAATAGCGGCACCGCAGGCTTCCGACGCCTGCGGCGCCGGTGTTGGAGCTTCCTGGAGTTACGCTGCAGTGTGTGTGAGTTGAGCTGAGCTAGCGCTAGCTGAGCTCGAGTCAAAGAGATTTGACACTTTGAAATTGTTATCTGTTGGTTTGCATCATTATTGCCGCGATTTCAATATAGTTTCGTGAATAGATTTATGAAACCTGAGCTTAGAATTAGTAAAAGTATTATTAATGTCTACGACTACGTTTTTAAATGACTGTCTGATTTTCTTGTGAAAATTTTACTTTGAAAAATGATTATCGAAATTCATGTCCAGAAATAATCTAGGGTCTATTATGTTACAGTTCTTGCATCAAATCAATGCATGAAAACTTAGTTATTGAACTAGAAAAAGGGGTTTCTTGTTTAATAGGCAATTATGAAGCAGGAAGCCCGAAACCTGTCCTTAGCCTACTAAACAAATCTCAACAAACTATAGGGCTGTAGGCCTATCCTTTTATGAATTAATGAAAAAGTAGCCCCAGAAAAGAGGCTCCGAAATGGAAAAAAAGAGCCCCCGAAAATTTTCCCAAAATTTGAAACGGAGCCCCCGAAATGAAAAACTTAATTTTTTGCCTGCTTGTCTTCTTCCTTTATTACGCTGATTGTGATTGGTCGAACACATAATAATGACGACAATTTCGATCGTATATATCTTCGTTAAAGATTGTGACTTTGTTTGGTGGAAATCGCCTGTGCGGTTTGAAAGTTACGCGACATACAAGAAAGATTTTGCCGGCAACATTAACAAATATTTGTCTGAGCTCGCTCAAACTTAGTGGGTATAAAAATATGATATCATACCATATTTGCTTAAAGTTTGACAATGTTTCAGTAAGTCAAAGCGATCGTTTGGTCACTTTTCCTAGCCATGTTTTGATACTTTTTTGGAGTGTAAGCAAGTTGTTGATCTCGTGTGTTGCGGTTTGCTTCGATGGATGCAAAGCTAGTCTGATCAATGTGACTGCAGACCCGCGATTGTAATTGGGTGTTCGAATTGTTCGACCTATAAAACAGTGATAGCAATGTGATTTATTATTTATTATTGAAATGATCATCACTTATCTTAATTACAGTTTTTATCATAACATGATAAAAAATTGTCAAATTGCCGAAGAGAAAATGTTTGTGTTAAAAATATGGCTGAAAATATAGGCTAGTTTGAAAGGTTGTTTTGAAATGAGGTTTGTTGACTTGCACTTTAAAGAGTGAATGATTGATAGGCAGGGTTGTTGCACTTACAACATGTATTTATTTTATCATCATCTTTCTCATATTTTCAATAACATGTAGAGGGAAATATATAGAGGGCGCAAGTAGCTACAAGTGGTGCAGTGGGCCTTTAAACTGATTAGTTATTAAAATCATTTTCACCTGAAGTGCCTACTACTATAGGCCTAGCCCTAGTAGTAGATCTTGATCAGTACTACAATCAATTGACTCTGACTCTATGCTTTGCTGGAGTTGGAGCACACATAGGCCTACTAGATTTAGGTGCATTACCGATTACTATCCTGGCTGTGTAGTAAAGCTGTGCTTTTGATTCTCAACATTTCAAACGCCACTGTACAAAACTCAACCGATTTCACTAAAAATCTGTACGTTAGTGACAATTTATGACACCTAAGTAGCAGTAAAATACATTTTTTCCAACTTAGGCCCTACTGTGATGTTAAAGAATAATTTAAAAATTCAAATTGTGGATCTAGACATCTAAGTCTAGTCTAGTGACAGTGTCGATGAGTAGATCTAGATCTAGTAGTAGGGTAGAGCGCCCAGTATTCGGTCACTTAAGGGAAAATCGCTAATATTTTGAATTCTTACCTCTTTTATTTGGCAATCTACCCATCAAAAGAAAAGAAATTTATTTCTCTAACAGGATTTCATAGTCACTTAAAATATAGAATAATGATAAGCAAAATACTTCCAAAAGAAGACGGAGCATTTTTCTGCCCAGAATTCGGTCGTGCCGAATAGAAT